TTTATTTTCTAGTTCAGTAATTTCTGCTCTTAATTTGTATTATTTCCTTTTTTCAATGGGAAATCAGTTGCGTTCTTTTTCTTCTCGTGAGGTATGTTTAACTATTTTTTTTGCCTTTTAAAAATAACATCTGCATTTTAAATTGTAAGATTGCTGTTAAGTCTGTGAGTACTTCTGTGTTATGTTAAGTGCATCTCCACATTCTGATATTAATATTTTTATTACCTTTCAGTATAAAGTATTATTAATGTCTATAATGATTTCTCCTTTGACCAATGAGTTATTTAGAAGTAGTTTTTAAATTTCTAAATATTGGAGCATTTGCCAGTTATCTTTCTGTTATTTTAATCTGAGTTTAAGTCTTCTGTGGTCAGAGAACATACTTTGTATTATTTCTCTTCTTTTTAATTTTTTGGAATTGTTTTATGGAAGTGAATGTTCCAGGCACAATTGGAGGGAATGTGCATCCAGTATTTTTGGGTAAGGTATCTTACAAATGTCAGTTAAGATAAGTTGGCTGAGAACATTGTTCGGCTCTTCTGTTTTCTTATTTTTTGTCTACTTGTTCTGTCACTTACTGAAAGAGGAATGTTGGAATCTCCAACTATAATTTTGGATTTTTCTATTTTCCAATTCTAACAGTTTATTTTGTATATTTTGAACTTGGGTGCATATATGTTTCGTATTTTTCTGTTTTCTTGAATGAATTGATCTGTCTGTATCTGTGTAATGTCCCTCTTTGTCCCTAGTACCATTCCTTCTCTGAAGCTTGCTGTCTGAATTTAATATACATACTCAGTTTTCTTTTGATTACTGACTGTAATCTGTCTATACTTTTACTTTTAACCTGTCCATGTCTTACATTTAAAATGTGGTTATTATAGAAGGCATAGAATTGGGTCTTGCTTTTTTTACCCTTGCACAATCTCTGCCTTTTCATTTTAATGTCTGTATCATGCGTGTTTGAAGCGACTGTTGATATGGTTTGGTTTGCACCTACCATCTTGCTGTTTGTTTTCTATTGACTCAACTCCTCTTGCTATTTTTATTTCATTGTTACTCATATTTTTCATTGTTTCATTATTATTTCATTGTATTCATATTACTCATTATTTCATTATTTGAAAGAAAGGTATCACTTTTTTTGTCCCATGGACTTTGTTTTTCTTTTTTTAGGATTCAGTGTATCTTCACTATGGCTTATTAGTTATGTCCCCTTTAAAAAATTGTTATTGTTCTAGGGATTACAATATGCTTCTCTAATTTATTACAACATATATTCAAATGAGAAGATGCCACTGTGTGTACAGCGCAGGGTACAGTGTGAGAACGTGCCAGGAGTGCAGAGCACGCTTCCTTGGACTTCTGTGGCCTCTTTCCCCATCTTCTGTGCTGTTGTTTTTCTGCATTTTACTTCCACTCACGTTATACATCCCATGGTACCTTGTTACTTTATCTCCTAAAGATATGCAGCTATCTTTTAAAGCGATTAAAATGACAGAAATGGTTTTTATATTTACCATCATTTATACCATTTTCGTGCTTTTCATTTCTTTTTGCAAAATGTCCATTTTCACCCAGCATCCTTTTGCTGCAAGGACTTCTTTAACAATTCTTGATAGCAAAGACTGCTCTCTGTGAATTTTCACACTTTTGTCTGAAATGATCTTTATTTCACTTTCATTTTTTAAAAATTTAATTAATAAACTTTAATTTTGAGAGCGATTTTGGGTTTCAAGAAAAATTGAGCAGAAAGTACAGAGCGTTCCTGTATTCCTTAACTGCCCAGGCTTGCCCGCCTCTTCCAAGAGACCTTCAGCGTATTAATCACACTTATCTTAAAGCACTTGTCTGATCATTCCCGCGTCTAGGTCCGATGTCCTCCCCCACCCCCGTCCTTCTGCCCGCTTCCTGCTCATCCTCACACTTCGCTTCCCCACATTTTCTCTTTCTTAAGTCTCTTGTCACTGTTCGTCATCTTCAATTTTCTTGCCTACGTCACGCTCTAAACTGTGCCCTTCAGGGCAGGCTCTGGAACTTGCTCATCTCTCGCCCTGAGTCTAGGGCTACTTAATTGGGCTAAACTCATGATAATGACTGCGCGAGTGGGTGAGGGAAGGAAGGGACAAAGACACAAGGGGGAACTTCCGTGGTAAGATTTCCAGGGAACATTGCCATGTAAAATTGAACCATCCTCTTTATACTTTAAAAAGTTCACAAAATAACCCATACTTGAAACATTTAGCAATTTCAGAATTTAAATAGTGAGAGTTTCCTTTCTTCCTGCACTATAGTCTAGGGTAATGCGTGCTTCCAGACTTTTCCCTGCATGAGTGTATGTATATACGACCCCATGTATTGCACATATATGCATTAGTATAATTTGAGTTAAGAAATGGGCTCATACTGCATAGAAAATTCTTCACCATGTTTTTTCATTTACATGAATTTTCAGGAGCATCTTTCTAAGAGCATATCTACAGGTGCTTCTCTGTAGAACACTGTTACACGGATGTAATTTATTGAAGCCCCCCTGTCGGGTAGACATTTGGATTGCAGTTCTTGGCTTATATTGTAGTGCTGATGGCTGACATGCCACGGGGCTTACCGTGGGCCACGGACCATGCTATGAGCTTCCCGTGCGTGATCTCGTGTGGCCTTTCTAATGCTTTTCTCAGTCACGCGCAGCCGCTCTCCCTTCTTTCTTCTCATTAGCATAGCCGACAGTGAGAAGTACTGAAGCTGAAGCTTCTGGACTCTGCTCATCCGCTGTGGCCTCTCCAGGACACTTCAGGAAGCAGCCAGGTGTTCCAGAGTGTGGGCGCCAAAGCAGCGATTTCTGTCTTCAGCTCTCTCCCATTCTGTGTTCACTGTGGGGGATTCGTCCCTCCCTGCTTCAGGGGCCCTCTCTTACCCCTCTCCTCACTTTCCTTTAAGAGGGCAGGTCCCTGGTGACCACTTGAGGCTGGATGCAGATCTGTCTATCCATTCTCTGGCCCTACCAGCAGATTGGGGATCTTAGTTGCTTGATTTCCCAGGGGAGGCCGACCTGAATGTGGTCCAGTGAAATGTAATCAGGGACTTTATAGTGTCTGTTTTCGTCTTTCCCAAACCTCCTGGCTGCCACATCTCGACCTTTCATCCCAGGGGTGGTATAAGTCTCTCCGCGGACAGTCTTGGGTTGATGGATTTCTTCCTGTGGTGTGCTGGGTCGAAAAGACTACCTTTCTGAATTCCACATTTCTAGTCTTCCTGCAAATCAAGGTGGGTTTTTTACTTCAGCCGATTCTCATGCATAGCCAGAAATGATTCGTCTTGTCCCTGGGTTGTCAGAGGCTCAGAGGAGCAGGCGGAGGCAGGCAGGGCCTCCTCTCCATTTGTTCCAAGAAGCCTTTCAGGAGTGCCGCCCCCCCCCCCATTGTGCCCTGAGGCCTCTAGGCCACCACTCTAAGCCACTGCTGATCGCTCTGATTTTTTTCCCCTCATTAATGTCTTTGTTTAAAACAGCTTTACTGAGGCATATTTTTCATGCGGTGAAATTCACCCATCTAAAGCATCTGGTGAGATGAGTTTCTGTAGATGTAAACAGCCATGAGGCCCTCAGCGGCAGTCACATTTGAACTTGCCGTAGTTCCCTTGTTTCCTTGTTCATCCCTTTGCCAGCAGCCCCTTGCTCCCTCCTCACTGTGGACCAGGCAACTATAGATTTGTTTCTGGAGGCTAAGGTTTTGCCTCTTCTAGAATTTCATATAAATGGAATCCTCTGGTATGTTGTCTTTTCTCTGTGGCTTCTTTTTCTTAGTAAAATACATTTGAAATGCATCCCCGTTGTTACCCGTAGGGTTCCCTTTTAGTGCTGAGTCATATTCCATTTTCTGTATAGTTGGCGACCTGTGTCTGTGCTCCCCAGTCGAGGTACATGGAGTCCTTTTTCATTTCGAGGCTGTTGTGCATCATGCTAATATGAACATTTGTGTACCAGTCTGTGTGTGGACAAAAGTTTTCATTCCACTTGGGTAGATACCTAAGAGGGAATTGCTTGGTTGAATGATAAATGTATACTTAGCTTCCTGAGAAACTGCCAGCTGTTTTCTAAATTACGGTGCTATTTTGCATTCCTGCCAACAATGTCTGTGGGTTCCTATTGTCTGATATCTTTACCAGCATAGGTATTATTATCATTTTAGTTATTTTTCTTTTTTAAGATTTTATTTTAATTAGGCTCCACGCCCAATGTGGGGCTCGAAATCATGACTCTGAGATCAAAAGTCAGATGCTCCACCTACTGAGCCAGCCAGGTGCCCCATAATTTTAGTTCTTCTAGTGGGTATGGTAGTACCTCTTCTTGACTTCTTATTTATTCTTTTGGCCTTTGGTTTTCTTTTGTCTTTAAAGTTTATTTTGAAGCAATTTTAGATTGATAGAAAAGTTGCAAAGCTAATACAAAGGTTTCCCTTTGCACCTTTAATCTTCTAATGAGATGGTTCCCGACCAGGGTTGATTTTGCTCCCAGTGGACCTGTGGCAATGTCTAGAGACATTTTTAGTTGTCCTGTCGTGGGGTGAGGGGCAACCAGGGGAATTTTCTGACATCTAGTGGGTAGAGGCCATTTGAGATTGAGGTGGCCATCAGGATGCCTCTTTGGACCTTTTCCTTCTGCAGTTTTCGTCACTTGATCCCCTCCCACTGTCTGAGTCTTATCTGGGTCTGAAGAATCAATCAGAAATGGAGAAAAAGGGTTTTCTCTAGTTCCAAGTGGATAGTTTCAACCTCCAGTGACCATCAGGCTGGAGGGTATGAGTCTGGCTCCTGTAGGATGGTGACTGACGTTGTACCAACCATCTCTGGGTTCCCTGATGACCTCTCCTCCCCCTGGACAGAAGTTGCTGACTTTCCTTTGTTCCCTGATTTTATTACCTGCTCTTAACATGATGCTCGTAATTAGCACAGTGGCGGTCCGTGTTGCCCGTGTAACTGTGGATCATTTCTTGTCTTCACAGTCAGATTATTGCCAGAGGGCTGCTCGATGTCCTCCGGGACTTCAGTAACAATGAGGAGGACTTCTTAACGGTAATGGAGATGGTGGTCCGATTGGCAGAAGACTCAGGTTTGTACGAGGGTTGTATACTTTTATTTTTTACTTGTGTATTTCCAAGAAATTATGTATAACCAATGATAGTGAGTTAAAAAGAAAACCTGGGGTGTTCATCAATACATTTTAAGCAGTGTCTAAGCACGAATGGGTTTTGTCTTGAAGAATGGGTGTCTTATTTGGGATCAAATTATCCTTAGTTTTAGAAAATTAGAATGACTAATGGCCATGAATGCTATCTATGCCGGCAGTTAAGGCCTTTGTAGTTCATGAGTTTTGCCAGCCTGTTGGTTGCTAAGAAATACCAAATCAAAAGAAGTCCTTTGGATTAGAACAAGCCCAGTCATTAGTTTCCCTCATCTATGATCTTTGTAGGCTAATCTTGATTTTTCTTTCTCTTTCTACCTCTCCATGATTGCTGTCCTGGGAGAGAAGCGCACCGCTGTGCGGGAGACAGGAAGATGTCCCTCCCCTGCTCTCCTCCCCTACACACATAGGAAAGAGGGGGGAGATGAGCATTTTGGGGGGCTGCTTATACAGAGAGCTGCCTGCTGCCCTCACACACGCCCCCGCCCCCCGCCTTCGATTTGTAATGATTGGTGAACAGCTTCAGAAAGTTTTGGGAATCTTACGCTTGCTTTAGAATTTGATCATTTTAACTGCAAATAGAAAAATAAGCCTTCCGCATAGCTCCCGTATTCATTTAAAATATTCATATGAATATGACACAATGCTTTTAGAAGGCCCGAGTGGATGTTTTGAGTCCTTAAATGGATTCTCTTTGTAAATGAGTCACCATTTACAGTGCTGAAGCAATTATATATTTGTGTTAAATTTAATGTGGTGTATTGGAGCTAGAGCCGCTCTTTTGTTTAATGCTTTGCCTTAGAAATAATTGGGATGCGGGGATTGTGGGGGAGTGCATTTATGAAAGAATTATTTATAATGTATACATTCTGGCTGGAATTTAAATAAGCACAACCCATAGGTCTGGCATATATGCCATTAGTTGTAATGGCTTTTGGACGCTGGCCCAGCACGCAGACTTCTTGCTCTCTCCTCGATTTATATATGGCTTGTTATAATAGAGTTGTCATTCTCTCTTCCTTTTATGTTTTTATATTGCCAGATAGCTTATTAGCTTTTTAAGCCTGTCTGTAGCATAAATACTCTAAATGGGAAATGATTTTTAAACTGCATTTGTCTAATTTCCTTGATGAAGTATTTTAGTAAGAAAAGCTAGAAACTATCCCTCTATACTCTGTAAGGTGCTTGGCTTATTCTCATATAATTCTTTTCCGATTTTTTATTGCTGCAGAGCCCACGGTGCGGTCTGAGCTGATGGAGCAGATTCCTCCTATTGCTGTTTTTTTACAAGAAAGCAGATCGGATTTTCCCGTGGTGCTCTCTGAATATCTCTCCCCGATTGTAGTGAGGTACCTCACGGATCCCAACAACCAGGTGGGAAAAACTGGGACCTGAAGATCTGTGCAGCAAATTCCCCTTAGTCTCATTTTAGCTGAGATCCTTAATTCCGAGAACAGCTTCTCAGAGTTAAGCAATTCGAGAACAAAAGATCTGTTTGTGCCGGGTTCCTCAGTTACGCAGGCAGACAGACAGCATTCACTCTTAGTATCATGAGAGATTTCTTTCTTATTTTTTTTTTAACCTTTTCTTATGGAAATTTTCAAACACAGGGAAGTAGAGAGACTGTTAGAATGAATGTCCATGTCTGAATGAATACACCCAGAGTCGACAGTCATTAACATTCGACCGGTCTGTTTTCATTTATCTTGAGTTAATCCAACCCGGATAAAAGCATTTCCCAGATACCATGTCGTTGTAGCTGTAAATGCTTTAGTATTTCTCTCTGAGAAGTACAGACACTTTTTAAAATACATAATAGCAATCCCAGTATCCCATGGATAAAAATTATCAATAGATCCTTAGTATCATTTAATCTTGAGTCGTTGAAATTTTTCCAGTTTTCTCAGAAATCTGGTTGTTTACAGGCAGTCTCTTTAAATCAGAATGCACATGAGGTCCACATACTGGATTTGGTTGATGTACCTTTTAAATCTCTCTTAATTTATAATTGTTCATCCCTCTGTTTACTCCCTTGCTCTAGGAAACTAGGTCATTAGTTTGTAGGAGTCCCCGCATTTGGGATCTGGCCGATCACATCCCCATAGTGTGGTTTGAAATGTTCCTCTGTTCCCAGTATTTCCTCTGAACTGCTAGTTAAGTCTAGAGGTGTGGTCAGGTTCAGAGTTTTGTATAGTACAGTGAGAATCCTTTCTTGGTGCTGTTGTGTTTTCTTGCTGCATCAGATCAGGAAGCATAAAAGCTGTGTGAGGGCTGGGTTGTGTTTGGGTTATGTCGGCCTTATCTGTTCGTTACAGAATTCCTCGCCAAGAGTTTGCACTGGTATTTCCAAAATCGCATTGAGGATTGTAGAGCTTTTACTTAATTTGATTTTATATTCATAACTTTTTATTTTTACATAGTATAAATCTTGCTTCATAAGGGCATTAATGTGTCTCTGTGTGTGTGTCCAAAATAAAAATACCAGTATGATTGCTGACAGTATGATTACTAAGAGTACAGTAGGATAACTGAATATAGTTTGGGATTTCTTTGACGTTCTTTCTGTTTTTGGGCTGTCTCCCACTAGAGATGCACAGTCATATTAACATTAATATTAATGAGATTGTGTTTCAAAGTCACTTGTATTAACCCTTCTCTTTGTGCCTAAGCTGCCAACTTGATCCACAGTGAGACTCATTTATTTTTTATTTTTAGAAATTGCTTTAGCTTTTACATTTTGATTTAATTTAGACTTATAATTATTTAAAATGTTTTTACATAATTCCAAGTCAAAACTGTTAAAGTACATTCAGAAAAATCTGACTTCCAGGGATCCCTGGGGGGGTTCAGTGGGTTAAATGTCCGGCCCTCGGTTTCAGCTCAGGTCATGGTCTCAGGACTGTGAGACTGAGCCCCGCGGCGGGCACCGCGTGCTCTGTGCGGAGTGTGCTTGAGACTCTTTCTCTCTCCCTCTCCCTCCCCTAAAATACATAGATGCAATCTTCTAAAAAAGAAAAGAAAAGAAAAATCTGACTTCCATCCCTGCCTCCCCTGTCTGTTCCCTCCCTCCCCTATAGATCGCCATTTTTCCCGGGTTTTGGTTTATTCTTCCCTTTAAAAAATATGCACGGATAACTTGAAGCCTTATGTACGTGTCCTTGTGTCCTGCACCCCCTTGTCACTTTCTCAGGTTCACGTGGTGCGCTGCTCATGATGCCCTGTCCCTCGCTTTCCCCTGCTGTCCGGGGTATTCTGCAGATCAGTCCCAAGCAGGCAAGGCAATGCTTCCTCATCCCTTTTCCCAGCAGCAGGGTACTCGCTGGGGAGAGGTAGTGAAGCTTGCTCATAGACATTTGGGTTATTTCTACTCTTTTGTCACTTTAAAATCGTTGCCACAAGTCGCCTTTGCAGCCTTTCCATTTGTGTGAGTTACTGTGGGAATGGATTTGCACAAAGGCAAACCTTGTATTTATAATTTTTTTTTTTCCTAGAGAGAGAGAGAATGGGAGAGAGCATGATGCAGGGGGAGGAGAAAAGGGAGAGGGAGAGAGAGAGAATCCCAAGCAGGCTCCACAGCCAGCACAGAGTGGGATGTGGGGCTCAATTTCACGACCCTGAGGTCATGATTGGAGCTGAAATCAGGATTTGAATGTTTAACTGAGCTACCCCGGTGCCCCTGTATTTATAATTTTTAACGATATGCCAAGTTTTCATTATTGTTTCCAAGAAGTTCTGCAGTTTCAGCTTGTCTCTCTCAATCTGAGCATTTTTAAAAAGCAAATGCTGTAAGTGTTACCCCGTGACGTGATTGAATGTAGTGTTCAGATAAGGAGGAAAGTCCTTCTGTTTCTGCTCTCCTAATGCCAGTCTTTAGATTATTTTTGCATTTTCTTCCTCAGGTGCTTCCATTTTGTCCTGCGTGCGTCTAATCATAATGGGACGCAGTGTCTCCCATTCATTCATTTACTCCGGCGGCTTCTGAATGCCTGTTACCGGCCAAGTGTGGTGCTTTGTGCCGGGGATAAAGACATGAGTAGGACAGATTTCCTGCCCCAGAAAGCTCACCGGCGTGCAGTAGACGTTGTACGTCTTCATAATCTTCGTATTTTTACTTGTGTTGAAAGCTCCGCTTTCGTTCGGCCTTTCGGGGCAGTGGACGCGCTGCGCATTGTAACGGCGGTGGTTGTGTTCTTCCACTGGCCGTTCTTTTTCCTTTGGATGTGTTCTTGAAGATGAGATTGCACTGGGTCAAAGAACTTGACATTTCCTTGACCTTTTACATATATCATTGCCATTTATTTGGTTCCAGAAGGGGAGAGGCTGGAACTGTGATTTGGGCCCTGGGCTCTCTCCTGTCTCTCCTTGCTCTGCCACCACCCTGAGCCTTCTGGTCCCAGAGGCCTGTGGCTCCCTCCTACCCGTGTCCTCCTGCCTTCATTTCCTTTTCCGCTTTGGCTGCCCCCTCCCTCAGCCTTCCCTTTCTGGCAGCCTCCCCATCCGCACCCCTGATTTTTGTCCTTTTGACGGTGCCTCCGCCTGCCGGCCCATTCACAGCCCACAGACTCCCACGTCCCGGAGGCCAGGTTGGTGGGGAGGGGGGGTTGGGGGCTGCTGCCACCGCAGATTTATGGATTCTGATTGCAGCCGGACTCGCAGTGTTGCCTGCCGACCCTTCCATTCGTCCCTCCTCAGCTGGTCTTACATTATCCAAGGCAGCTCTTGCAGACCTTTGCCACCGTCATCAAGCCTCTCCATCTTGGCCTGTCGTGCACCAAACCGGTGACCTTGCCTTTTGCTTCAGTGAGAAAATAGAGGCCTTCTGTCTTCATCCGCTCTCTCAACAAGTGGATCTGCCGCATACTCCCTTCGGTTCCCTGGAGCCCAGCCAGGGGCCATCAGTATCCTCCCTTCTCCTGCCCCCCACGCCCAGCTGGACCTTGCCAGGTGTCCTTTGTTTCCATAATAAACAGAATTCTTCTCCATTCCTGTCACCTTTAAACACAGAAATATGGCAGAGCCCTATCTTCCTAAAGATATTTCCTTCAGACTCTAATGCCTTCAGACATAGCTGACTCCTTTGTGGGCCGCCCGTCCCGGTCCTGCCGTGAGGCCACCGCAACTGTGCCTTCTACCCATGTTGGAGGTCTTGCTCCTTCCAGATGCCTCTCCTCTCCTCCTGCCCATCTCGCCTCCCTTTAACCGAGGCCAGCCCTTCCAGACCTCCTCCTTGTAGGGGTGCCCAGGGTCCCCGAGGAGGTCGGATGCCGCATTCAGCCAAGGCTCAGATTCTTTTGCCTGTCGGAGTGGGTCTGTCAGGTTGGCCGAGCAGCTGCGGCGCAGGCCTCCCTGTGCCTGTCATCAGTACTCTTCAGGGCCGGTGCGCCTTGCGGGGACTCGTGGTGGGTAAGAAACCACAGCATCGGGCACAATAGTGACAACATGACCATGGTTGCTGGTACTGCTAACAGCTTGGGCTGCTGGAGCTCGCAGGGTGTGACCTACCCGGCTCCAGGATTAGCGAGGATTATCTTGTTTACGCTCCCTAAGTGCCCTGTGAAGTGTGGGCATGCACATTCGTTCCCCTTTGTTTGAGAGGCGCAGGGCTGAGGCGCAGGTGTGTGTGTTGGGCACCATGAGCTACGCGGGAGCCTGGCAGGCCGCCCTGGTTTCCCCAGGCTCATCTGGTGAATGTGTTGGGACTGCCTAGGCTCTTCTGGATGTCATGACTAGTACTTTCCCGTGTTAGACTCTGAGCACTGACCTAGGAGCTGGGTCTTACTTGATGATCTCTGTGACCGAGCCCGGGGCCTGGTACCTGCTCGTGTTCTGGGAGTGCGCTGTGGAACCGAGGCAGCCGTCATCTGTCCCATTTGCCAGTGTGACCACGTTTCTGCAGATGTCCTGAGCTACTTGCCTTCTGTCTCACAGGACACGGGGGTCCCAGCCCCTCTTCAGGGCGATGTCTTCCTTTCCATCTTCTTTCCTATCTTCTTATCTCAAGGCTGGCTTATTTTTCTAGTCTCTCTCGTTGGCTTTTCTCTTTCGATTTTCATCATGCCTCCGTCTCCCTCAACCCTCTGTGCCCGGGCCTCCACCCCGAGCGCCCCGCCGCTCCCTTCCCTGTTGCCAGGCTTCTTGAAGAACCATGCTCTGCAGCTTCTGGTGGGCGTGGGCTCCCGGTGTAGGATCCCGGCCCGGCGGCGGCTCCCCGCACGGCAGCCAGTAGACCCCTGCAGCCACTGAGAGGTGTCCCGCCGTGGACTCTGCTCTTCTCACTGTGAAATCTGTTTTTTTTTTTTTTTTCTTCAGAGATAGTTTTGATTTTTAAAAAACCATGAAATGTTTTTATCACACTGGAGGATTGTGTAATAAACACCCATATATCTACTACACTCACTCAAGAAATGTTAAACTTTTGTAATATACCAATTTAATTTTTTCTGAATGGGTTACAGATCCAGTTAAGACTGTGCCATGCCCTTGCCATGCCGTTCTTCTCCCTCCCTCCCCTTCTGTAGGAAACCACTACCCTGAGCCCCAGGGTGTCCTTCCCATCCAGAGTTTTATAGTCCCACCACTTGCATAAGTGACCCTGAATAAGAGTGTCTCGTTTTAGGTCCTTTAAAACCTTATATAAATGGCGTCAGACTGTACTTTCCATTCTGCTGCTTGCTTTTATCCCTCTCTTTTTAAGATCTATCTACATTGATCCCGAGAGCTCATGGTCATTCATTTTAACTGTGTGATGGTATTGCATTTATACGCTTTCCACAATTTATTTGTCTATCCAGTGACTTCTTTTTTGCCTTTACTTAATTTTTTTTTGCACCATTTGTCACCATTAACGACTTTTGGGTCTTTGAAGAAACCTTTCTTGGCTGCATCCTAGACATTTAGTGTTTCTCCCCCACCGGTGGGATGCACAGGTGCCGGGGACGTGTTCTCTGTTCCTCCTGGAACTCAGCGTTAGGTCTGTGTGCGTTGGGATCGTCTTACCTCTTACGTCCCTCTCTTGGTGACTAGTCATATGATTTTAGTCACGGTAAATCAGGATTCATCTGGGGGAGACGGGACCCCACACACTGTTCTTTCGTTTTTTTTTTTTTTTAAGGTTTTATTTGTTTGAGATGGGGAGAGAGAGAGAGAGAGCACACATGTGCAAGACCTTAAGAACGGGGAGGGAGGAGCAGGAGCCCCACTGAGCAGGGAGCCTGGACATGGGGCTCGATCCCGGGACACTGGGATCATGACCTGAGCTGAAGGCAGATGCTTCACTGACTGAGCCCCCCAAGCGCCCCTACCCCACACACTGTTCTGAGCCCTTTATGTCTGTAGTTCGTGTCACTCCACAGCTGGCCCTGGCAGGTGGGACTGTCACCTTGCACGTCTATAGACACGAAGCCTAGCCTCAGCCCTCAGCTGCTGGCCCTGGAGCCCCCACTAGTGACTGCAGGACACAGATGGGGTGCATCCTGGAAACACTGCAGGGTCTCCTGTGGGTGACCCAAGTGTTCCCCCCCCCCCCCCTACCCCGCCCCTTCCCTTCCTGCTGGTGTGTTCTTCCCCAGGCTCCAGCCCTGGCCTGGGTCCTTGCCTGCCCTCCAGGGTGTGGTCTGGTTCTCTCCGCCACCCCCCACCCACCCCATACCAACCTTTTTTTTTTTTTTTAAAGTGCCAGGATTCCTTTGGTTTTCTCATCTGCTCCTGGAGGCCTGAGCAGAGCCACATGCCCAAGGCTGTCCCCAGACCCTGGAGCTCATGAGTCGGCCCCGCCCACTGGCCACTCTCCAGAAGCCTCCCGTTGCGTCATGTTGGGCCCCCAGCTCAGACACCCACCCCAGGTCTTCAGTCTTCCTTCTCCTTTTCTTGCGTTTGGTGATTGGTGGCCTAAGGCAAAGAGCCCAGGGTCATGTTTGGTTTTCTAGGACCATCTCTAGTGATGACCTCAGTTCTCTTTGGCAGCATCTCTCAAGCCTTCCCTCTCCTTACTGGGCCCCACCCGCTGGAACCCTTGCCTCTGCCAGAGCCTCTCTGCCCAGGAGCTCCTCGCCTGCTCTCGCAGCTTTCAGAGCCACTTGAGGCTTCTAAACTGTCACCCTCACAAAAGCTGTGTCTGCTTTTGTCACGCCTCTGCTTTCCAACCCTTGAGGCTCCCCCATGCCCTGGAGTAAGCCCTGGAGTAAGCCCCGGAGGCCCTGGCCCTGCCCCACCCCAGCTGGCCCTTCAGCCTTCCCTGGGTCACCTGAGGCAATGTCCCCTGACTTGTCCCGGGTCTCCAGGGCTCATCTTGTATCTTTGGGCCCATCGTCCTCTCCCCTTTCTTTGCTTGCTATAACAGTCCCTAGGGACAGCCATAACCAAGCACCACAAGCTGGGGGGCTTCGAACAGGAGACATTTATTCTCTCCCAGATGTGGAGGCTGGAAGTCCAAGATCAAGGTCTCATCTGCGTCACACTCATTCTGGAGGCTTCAGGGGAGAATCCGCTCCTCGCCCCTCCCAGCTTCTGGAGGTGTGGGCCCCCTTGGCTTCCAGCTGCAATGCCCCAGCCTCTGCCTCTGTTTTCCTGTGGCCTCTTCCTCTTCTGTCTGTCCTCTCCCCTTGCCTTTCTCGTAGGACAATTAGAAGATTGTCCTTAGGGTCACCCTGGTAATCCCGTGGATGACCTCCAGGTCCTTAACATGACCCCAGTCACATCACAGAGACCCTTTTGCCACAGAAGTCACATTCAGAGATTCTAAAGATTGGAGGTACACATTATGTTGCGGTCTACCCTTCACCCTGCCGTCCTCAGCAGGCTTCTGACTGCCTTTGACATTCTGCTCCACGTCCTCTGCTGAGGACCGGCGCCTCCCTTACCACTGCCCCCCACCTGTCGCATCCTCCCTGTGCTGCCACCCACTGGCGTCCTCACTGCCACCTGGGATTGGGTCACGAAGCAAGGCGGCTGATGAATCTGGCCCTCCTAGGCTCTGCTTCTAGCATGTTCTTTGCTCCTGCATGTGCCGGAAAGCTCAGTAAGGCACATGCAGGAGTTATTGGGGACTTTGGTTGGACACTGCACCACATCCTGTGACCCCAGCCTGGGGATGCCACTGGGGCGTCACCTCTCCCTGCCTGCCCCTCCCACCGAGGCTGTCGCGGCGGCTACCTGGCTGACCTGCCTTTCGTTGCCTCTAGTTGACTGGGAGCACCACTACCAGAACGAGCTTTCTAAAGTACCGTTTTCTTCTTGTCGCTTGTTTGGAAGCTTCCCTGTCTGAGTGCCTCTGAGGCTGCTTCTGGAACTGCCGTCTGCTCACCTGCCACTCTGCGTGCTCTGCCTGGGCCCCGGGGCTCTTCCCGGCTTCAGTGTCATCTCCCACCCCTTGCTCTGTGGGTGGCTGTTTCCTGTGTTCTCCGCTCCCAGATGGGTTCTCTGTCCAGCTTCTTGGTGTCCCTCTGAGGACTGGTGCTTGCTTGCCCCTACTCTCTGGACCGAGGAGGCTTCTGAGGCCCGCCTCACTGGGCCTCGTGTCTGGGCTTCACTGGGCCTCCTTTCTGGGCCCTGCCCCGCGGCCTTCTGTGGTCGTGTGTGCGGGCGTCTGTGCGGAAATCCGGGGTTCAGGCCGTGTGGGGAAAGTGGGGACATTGTTGGAGGACAGGTGGGGGACACGACCTGAAAGGGGACCCGGGGAAGAGGATATTCGGCCCGAGAGGAGAGGAATGGGAGGAGCCAGCCCGGCAGAGAGAGCTGTGTTCTCTGAGGCCTTGGGGGAGGAAGTACAAGGGGAGGGCTGGGTACCCTGTGCAGTTCACGCGTGTCTGGAGGCGGCCCGGCTTGGCGCTGCCCTCAGGGAGCTCGTCTGGCTCTGGAGAGCACTTCAGCTCGTTTGGTGTTTCACCTTTTGCCTTCTTTTCCTCTTCCAGGTTAGAAAATCAAGTCAGGAAGTGCTCTTGACTCTTCTGGAACAAGATCTAGTTTCCCAGCACGATATTGAAAACAAAGTGTGTCCAGTCCTGCTGGCGCTCTCTGCGCCGGACGGTGATGACGAGTATAAGGCAGAAGCTGCGAACGTAAGTCTGTCTGGGGGGGTGGTGACAGCTCCGCACCTCGGTGGACTGTCCCGTAGCTTGGGGTGAGCGTGACTTGTGGTCTCACAGGTGCTTGGTGTCGGCCGGCACTTCCCCTAAACAAGGCGGCCGTCAGTGTGGCCTTGGTCCGAGAACATTCACAGTTCGGATCTGAGCGTGTGTTGGACGTGCTTATCCTTAGATCACCAGTTGTTTTAAGACGGCAAAGTTGTCGAAATCAGGGTGGTTGAAGCTGAGGTGAGGCCAGATGCAGAGATGTGTAGGGAATCAGTCTTTGGACCCACTGGGATCACGGACCTTGTTTCCCAAAGTACAGAACCCAGTCTAGTGCGGGCGAGGATTTTAGCTTGTGTTTGGGCCGTTCAAGAAAGTCCAGTAGACATGGCTGACTGTGTGTAGGTCAGGACAAGGTGGTGCTTTGTAGGTCTGTGAGCGGATAAGAGGGTCCACTCTTAGGAGTGCAGGCATGGCCAGAATGTCCACGGCAGTTTAGGACGTGCTCTGTGGCAGCGTCTGCTCATACCAGTTAAAGGACTAGTGCAGATGCTCAATTTCTTCTCTGTTTAACAGTTACTTTGTGGTATCCTTGGGTTTGTAATATTCTGTACCCATCATAAAGTGACTGTAGAGTCAAGGGCTTTCTACTTGCTTCTAGAACCCTCATTTACAAAGTAACTGCTGTGGGAGCCAGTGGGAGCTTTCACCTATCAGCCCAGACACAGACTCCCCACTTGTCCTCAGGCCTTCTCCTTTGTGGCACAAGGAAGGTCATTCTCGGCCGTCTTGTGTTCGGTGGCTGCTTCCCTCCACTGACCCATGCAGATGGTGCCGCACAAAACAGCCTTCTCTGTTTCTCTCACAGCAGTAATGACTCAGGACTATTCCAGCCTTTTAGGAAAATCATACGTAAGGATTAAAAAAAACCCATAGGCCTTCATTATGAGTACAATAAGACCTAGGAGAGGATTGTTTTCTTGGTTGGAAAAGAATGACGTTGGAGAAAGGAATTCTTTTTCAAAGTGAGGAAACAGCACACGGAGCTGAAAAACTGTATTATAGCATCAGAGCCTTTGATAATTATTCTTCATTTATGTAAAAGTTTTCCTCAACTATGAGTTACAGGGCTGGCTTTTTAAACTAATTTAAGTTTTTGCATATTCCATACGTTTATAAGATGAATCAGGCTGAAGAATAATTGATTATTAAAATTCAAATTCTCCAGGGTTCTTTTATAAATTTCAAGTTTCCCTATAAGAAATTACATTTATTTTGCAAAATGAACCTGGATAATATCATTTAGTTGGAATATTTGGCAGTTGAGCCGTGAACTTTGCCAGCTAGATCTTCTTCTTTGTTGGAGCGTTGGTTAGGCAAGTTTCCAAGGTTACAACCGACCACCAAGTATCTTATCCCTCAAGATCGATAATACCGTGAAAAATAATGCTCAAGACGTTTTTGCATGATTTTTGTTTTGTTTTCAGCCGTTTTGTTCTTGCCAACAATATTCCTTCTCTCCTCCTCCTCCTCCTGCCTGTTGTTTTTCTTCTTCTGGTGAAAATATTTGGAAAATATAGCAAGCCTTCATAAAGCTATCTCCACAAATCACCTACAGAACAAATTAGTTCACATAAATTAAGTGAGTGGCTGATATCATTACTCGAATGTGTAAGCTTTCCAGTGTGGCTGCCAAGAATGATGACTCTCGAACCCTCCTCAGGCCGCGGTGCACCCAGGTTTCAGGGTTTTTCTGGAGGAGCACCACTTCTGTCCCCACAGATCCCTGTCAGAAGCAGGATTTGGGGTGCCTGACCCCTGCATGCTTTGGTCAGATTCGGAAGCTGTCCTGTGTTCCTTTCCTGGAGCCCCGAGGCCAAGGGGGAGGAGTCCTGGAAGGTCTCACTCCTTGGGTACCCAGTGTCGAGGAGCCCAGAGGGTGCTGTTTGCGTTAGCTAGAAATGGCAGGATGGTTGGGGGTGGGTTTCTATCCTCAAGGAGAAGCAGCCCACATGTGTGGTTTGGAGAGCTCCCCAAGGAGGGCAGGGTTCCCAGCTGGTCTGTGGGTGACCCCCAGACACTGCGGGCACCTCCATGTACTGGCGAGGAGGGAGATGGGGGCAGAGAGAACCAGTTGTGCTGCTTGTTTTGGCTCTCTTCCAGCCACGTGGTGTGAGGGCTGCGACAGCCTGCCGACTGTCGGTAAACACGCGCCCGGAACGGTGCGGCTCCAAAGGAATTGCCTCTCGCTCAGAGGAGCCGGCCTGCCTTCCTAGGCTGGATGTGTGTCTGTGCTCGCACCTTTGCATTCTTGTGAGGGGTTCCAGTCAGCTGATTCTGGTGCCAGCACCCCGAGCGCATACTTGATTAGGGAAATCAAAGGTAGCCAAGTAGACGTGGCCTGGGCATTTTTAAATAAGAGTTATGCCGTGTAAGTCACGGGCTGGTGGTGTCTTACATCCTGCTTCCTCACAGATGTGCGCATTTCAGTTTGTGAAATCTTTCTGCAGATGGCAGACAACGTCCGCGACTCCCTCCTTTGTGCGTTCGGAAGGCTCGCTTCCTTTCTGTCTCCTGTCATCTAGCAATCGAAGTGTGCACTTGACTTGTTTATTTCTCCTTCCAAAGCGCGAGCTTCTGAACACAGGTGTCTCTCCGCCATCGGCACCCAGCACAGTGCCAGGCCCAGAGCCAGTACTAAATAAATGTTAGTTGTTGAATGAATGAATCGGTAAAAACTGGAAGCGCTGCGTCCTGTAATTATATCTAGACGGCGTAAACAAGCCACCAGAGACCAATTATAATTCCTCTTGCTTGCAGGAAAGCCATTAGCATTCCGAGATTATAACTAATTGTCAGAAGCCTATTTTTCTCTCTCAACACGTTTTCACATTAAGGCTTCCTCATTTTTTGTCGTCATTCCTATTTTTAAGCTCATTTTTATTTGTGCATTTATTTAAAAAGAACGTCGTGGGTATGTGTTGTGAAAGAATAGTCCAGGCGACTGAGGAAAGGCGGTCATTCCGTGCGAGTAGTTCCCAGGGCCACAGGGATGTCATTTCTTGTCACTCGGTGTGCTGGCTGGCTTTTAATGATTCGGGGTTTGTTTTATGCGGGTAGTAATAAGGTCATGTGGGTGTGGCCGACGGAGAGGGGCAGCTGGAGACACTGGGTGCTCTTCGGTCGCCTGTTTCCCTGGATACGGGAGCCGGGAGCTCGTTTATTGTGGTCGCCACCGGGTACGGCTCTGCCTCGAGTCAGGTCAGAGAGAGGCGTCCGAGCTCGGAAGGTGCAAGCCTTTCCGTGCTGTGGGGATAGAGTCCCCTCCCCTCGCCCCCCACACTCCCCCGCCAGTCAGGGTGCGTCTCCCTCTCGTGTGCTGTGTGCAGAGTCCGAGCAGAGTCGTGGGAGCTGCTGACCCGGGACCTTGTCCTGCTGGGGCCGGGGGTGCAGCGGGAAGAGCAGACGCAGAGACGGGGAGTCCTTCCCCACCTCCTCCTTCCGTCTTCTTTTCTTTTGGTGGGGGGGGCAGTGGGAGAGGTCTTTAAAAATTTGGGGGGTGATTTTTCATTTGGTTTTAATTTCGAGCTTGTAGGAGATGTTCAGGAGCGAACTCTTGAAGTCTCGGGTACCGTCTCCTCACGCGCTCCCGTAGTCTCTTACGGTCTCTCCTTACACACGTGTGTGCGCACACGCAGACGCACACACATCTGTGTGTGTGTGTATTTCTCTATGAGCCACCTGAGAGGAAATTGGAGGCATTATGCCCTTTTAGGCCCACATTTTCCAGTGTGTATTTCCTAGAAAACAAGGACAAACTCTCTTAAACACCATAGCACGTTGATCAGAATCAAGAAATTGGACTTCGATACGGGGCTGGCATCGCCTCCACAGTTCACGCGCAGATGTTGGCATCTGTCCGGGCCCCGGGCCAGGGCCACGTGATGCTCGGAGCTGTCACAACACTTCTGTCTCCTTGTTTCTAGAACAGATCCTGAGCCTTTGAATTTTGTAACGTTAACATGTTGGAAGAGCACAGGCCAGTTCTTGGGTAGAACGTCTCCCAGTTTGGGTTTGTTCGATGTTTCCTCATGATTGGATTCAGGCTCCGCGTCTCTGACAAGAAAGGTGAAGACACGTGTTCTCATGTGTCACGGCGGGAGGCCCAAGACTGCAGCATGTTCTGCCTCTGGCCATCGCTAACTGGCGGCTCAGGAGAGAGGTGGTGTCCACCCAGTTTCTGTGTCCTCCTTTGCCCCGGACGTGAAGAGGGAAGTCACTTGGAGCCCGTATGCTGTCATCAGACTGCCACCTGCGAGTGTGGTGCCCGTTGGTTGTTCGAGTTGATCTTCTCCCGCGAAGAACGCTCCCTTCTCCATTATTTGCTTATATTTTGTTGTTGATTTTCATATCTGTATTCAAGAGGACTATTGTAGGCAATTTTGTTTTCCTATTATGTTTTTGTCCGATTTTAGAATCTGGGTTATTTGGGCCTTAAAAAACGAGTTGGGAAACATTCCCCGCTCTTCTATTTTCTGAAAGATTTTGTTCAAAATTGGTGTTGTTTTTTCCCTTACGTATTTGTTAGAATTCACCAGTAAAATCTGTGGCCCTAGGGTTTTCTTTATGACATGGTTTTTGATAGAAAATCCAATTTAGATACGGCAATATTCAGATTTGTTATTTCATCTGTGTCATTGGGTAAGTTGTGTATTTTAAGGAATTTGTTAATTCCCTTTTTAAAAAAGTTTTATTTATTTATTTGACAGAGAGATAGAGAGAGCACAAGCAGTCAGAGAGGCAGGCAGAGGGAGAGGGAGAAGCAGGCTCACTGCTGAGCACGAACTTGATGCAGGGCTCGATCCCAGGACCCTGGTATCAGGATCTGAGCCAAAGGCAGATACTTAACCAACTGAGTCACCCAGGCGCCCCCAAGGAATTTATTAATTTCATCTAAGTTGTTAAATATATTGGACTAATGTTGCTTATAATATTTCCTTATCCCTTTTGGGGAGCTGGGTGGCTCAGTTAGTTAAGTGTCTACCTTTGGCTCAGGTCATGATCCTGGGATCTTGGGGTAGAGCCCTGCATCTGGCTCCCTGCACAGTGGAGATCCCCCTCTGCCCCTCCCCACCCCTGCTCAGCTCTCTCTCTCTCTCTCTCTCTCTCAAATAATATATAAAATCTTTAAGAAGATACTTCCTTATCCCTTTCATACCTGAAAGATCTGTAGTATTTTCCTGTTTCATTTATGATGTTGGTAATTTGTGTTTTCTCCCCGCCTTTTTCTTTCTTGATCAGTCTTGCTCAGGCTTTATCAAGTTTATTGATACTTTCTTTTTTTGGTTTTGTTGATTTCATTATTATTTTCTTTTTCATTTATATCTACTGTTTATTGTTTCCTTCCTTCTATTTACTGCAATTCAGTGTGCTTATATTATTCTAGCTTATTAAGGAGGAAACACGTTTTAAAGTCCATCTTTTCCCTTTTAAGCATGTAAAGGTTTTATGTTTATATCTTTGTGCTGTATTGACCCTTTTATTAAGGGATTACCTCTGATAGTAATCCGCACATATTTCTATGTTGAAAGTGTTCTGCTTTCATTAGCATGGACGTGCGCCTTGCTTTTGTATCCAGTTTGACAGTTTTTGCTTTTTAATTGAAGTCTTTATTCTGTTTATGTTAAATATAATTATTGATTATATTTGGACTTAATTCCGCCATTTTGGCATTTTTTTCCCCATTTATCTCCTCTGTTTTCGTTCCTCTATTCTTTCCTGCCTTCTTTTGGACTAGTGGAGTATTTTTGTAGTACTAGATTTTAATTCCTCTGTAGGATTTTCAAGAACCACCATAGCCCCTGCAACGTCGTCCACTCACTCCTTCTCCTTCTCTCTGCTGTTGTTTTCATACACTTGATGACGCATACTCCCATTAGGGACCTGGTAATACAATATTATAAATTTTGATTCAAACAATTGAAGAAATTAAGAAAGGAGAAAAAAAATAGCCTTTTATACTCACACTTTTACCATATGGGTACTCTTCCTTTCTTTCTTGGATTGGAGTTTCTGTCTGGTATCATACTTTCAGCCTGAAGAACTTCAGTACTTTGTTTAGCTTGATTGGCTGAGGATGAGCTTTCTGTTTTTATCCAAAAATGCCTTTATTTTGCCTTCACCTTTGGCTGACAGTTTTACTGGATATTGACTTGTGGGTTGATTGGTTTGTTTTTATTTTTCTGGTATTCCTTTAACATCTTGTCCTGTCATCTTCTGGAGAAGTCAGCGGCCATTCATACGGTACTGCATTTATAGCATCGTTTTTTAATCTGACTGCTTTTAAGATTTTTATTTCCATCTTGGCAGAATGAACACTCATCCTGCTTTGCATTTAGCAAACCCGTTAGATTTGTGTGTTGATGCTCTTCATCTGATTTTGGAAGTTTTGGGCTAGTGTTCCTGTGAGTACTTTTTTTCTGGACCATTCTCTTTCTCCTTTCAGCCTGGGGCTCCAATCACACAAAGCTGAGGTGCTTCCTTTTGCCCCACAGGTCTTTGAGGTTCTTTTTGTTGTTTTAGTCATTTTTCTCTCTGATGTTCAGATTTGATCATTTTTATTGATTTGTCTTTAAGCTCAGTGACTCTTGTCATCTTTGACCTGCTGGTAGGTCTACCCATTAGGTTTTTAATTTCAGTTATTATATCTTTCAACTCTAGAATTTCCACTCTGACCTTTTTTTAGTGTCTGTATCTCTGTAATATAGAGAGTCATTATATGTTCTTTATGCTTACATTTTCCTCTTAATCCTTGTTATATTTACAGTAGCTTTTTAAAAGTCCTTGTCTAACAGTTGTGACATTTGGATCATCTTGGTATTGATTTCCATCGACTGCTTTTTTTTCTTTATTGTGGGTCACCTTTTCCTGTCAACACATAGGTAGGTATTTTTAATTGAACACCAGACATTGTAAGTGATACAGTGCAGAGTCTCAGGATTCTGTTTTATTCCTCTAAAGTGATTTTTTTTTTTTTTTTGGTAGTAGATGCTTATTTCATTTTATGAAGTACTCTAAAGTAATTTTTGATGTAGCAGACATGTGTCTTGTCTGGACTCCACCTCCCTGCTGTCTCCTTGGTGGTGAGCAGCTGCTGAAATCTCTGCTCAGTTTACGTTGTTTCTGGCCACTACTCCTTTGCTGGGTACCCTGGGAAGACCATGCATGTACAATTTAACAGCCAGCCAGCCAGCCAGCCAGAGAGCTCAGCAAATTGAATACACAGATTTTGGACCTATCTTCCACATCTTTATCATTGTAGTTCATCTTTTTTTTTTTTTTAAGATTTTATTTATTTACTTGACACAGAGAGAGAGAGATCACAAGTAGGCAGAGTAGCAGAGAGAGAGGGGGAAGCAGGCTCCCTGCCAAGCAGAGAGCCCGATGCAGGGCTTGATTCCAGGACCCCGAGATTATGACCTGAGCCAAAGGCAGAGGCTTAACCCACTGAGCCACCCAGGCACCCTGTAGTTTATCTTTGAAGAATGACCTCTGCTCTAGCTTCTGCCTTTTGGTTGCTCTCCAGGGCTCTTAAATGGTAGTTTTTAATTTTTTTTCAAGATTCTGTAACTGTTATGTGCCACAGGGTATGTTGGACCAAGTTACTGTGTTATTACCAACAGGCTTGATTGATTCTTTTTTATAGTTTCCATTTCTTTGATGAGACTTCCTTTCTGTTCATGCAGTTGACTATTTCCTCTTGGTCTTTGAGTGTACTTAAAACAGCTGCATTAAAACCTTTTTAAAGTCTGCTAATGCTAATGTCTGGATCTTCTGTGAGTTTGTTTCTACTGACATTTTTCTTGGCTATGGGTCACATTTTCCTATTTCCTCTCATGTCTATGGATTTTTTTTCCTAGATACCTGTTTTTTTTTTTCAATGTTAAAAGTTTTAAATTTTAATTCCACTGTAATTAACACACAGAGTTATATTAGTTTCAGATGAACATTGTAGTGATTCAGCAATTCTATACATTACTCAGTGTTCATCATGATAAGTGTAATGTCTATGAATTTTTTATTGCCTCTTATTAGCTTCCTGATGAAACACTGTAGAAACTCTGGATTCTGTTATTTTCTTCAGAAGAGTGTTGACTTTGTTCTAGCAAAGAGTTCAGATTCTCTTTCTTCTATAATAGCCAGCAGCTGAAAGCACTAAGTTCCTTCTGCCTTCAAGCAATTGACTTTTTCCTATGAACCTCACTATCTCCTCTGTGTATGCACGGCTCCGAATTCAGCCACAGATTAGAGTGGTATTTAATCACAGATTTGGGGGCTCTCCCTTTTTTAGCTTCCTCCTTCCTTCCTTCCCAGGATTTCTACCCTCACGTTTTGGCTGCTTTGGCAACCTCACTCTTCGTTCTCTGACTTTCCAGGCCAGAAAAAAGCTGTAACTTCTGCTGGGGTCCAGCCACACTGCGTAGCCATGCAGAACAGGGGGTGCACTTGGACAGAAAAGCAGGAGCAATGCACCTTTTCCGCAGCATGGCTCCTTCTCTTAAGGATTTGCTTTCCGGTAGTTTCCACCAGCACTTGGTCACTCTCCAGTGCCTACCAGACATTTTCTTCTTGTTTTATTTATTTTATTTTAATTGCAGTATATTAACATACAGTGTAATGTTAGTTTCAGACATACAATCCAGTGACTCAGCTCTTCCATACAACATTCAGTGTTCTTCATCGTGACAAGTGTACTCCTTCACCCGTATCACCTGTATTTCCCCATCCCCCCACCCAACTCCCCTCTGGTGACCATCAGTTTGTTCTGTATAGTTAGGAAGAGTCTGTTTCGTGGTTTTGCTTCTCTCTTTTTTTCCTTTGCTCATTTGTCTTAAATTTCACATATGAGTGAAATGATATGGTATTTGTCTTTCTCTGACTTATTTCACCTAGCGTTACACCCTCTAGCTCCATCCACATCATTGCAAATGGCAAGATTTCTTTCTTTTTGATGGCTGTGTAATATTCCTTCATGTATATATATGTGTGTATATACATGATATGCACACACACACACACACCCCACATCTTCTGTATACAGTCATCTATACAGTATACAGTCAGTGAACATTTGGGCTGCTCCCATACTTTGGTTGTAAATAATGCTGCAATAAACATAGTCTGTAGGTGCATGTATCCACTTGAATTACTGTTTTTGTATTTTGTGTTTTTTTTTTAAGATTTTATTTATTTATTTGACAGAGAGAGAGGGAGAGAGATCACAAGTAGGCAGAGAGGCAGGCAGAGAGAGAGGGGGAAGCAGTCCTCCCGCCGAGCAGAGAGCCCGATGCAGGGCTCGATCCCAGGACCCCGAGATCATGACCTGAGCTGAAGGCAGAGGCCCAACCCACTGAGCCACCCAGTCACCCCTGTTTTTGTATTTTGGGGGTGAATACCCAGTAGGGCAGTTGCTGGCTTGCCTACCAGTCATTTTTACTCTCTGAGCAGCTGTCACTGTGCATCCCGCCTCAGCACTGCGGGGTTTTGTTCATATCACTTAAACCTCTTGGAGTGTCCTTATCTGCAAAAGTGAGGATCGGTCATACCCAGGTCATAGGGTTTGGGGAAGGTGAAACGGTCAGTGCACACACAGTGTTCGTTGATGTTTCAGATGTACGCTGGGTGCCTGGCAAATGGCGACTCTTGAGCCTTAGACGGACTCTTATTGGAGTAAACCTTGAGGAATTCTTAGCCTTCTATTGATCCTATCACTTGACAAAACTCAAAGGAAGGTGTTCTCTGTGTTTACTTCCTAGCTGTTTTGGCAATATTTTGAATATCAGCTTTTGGAATTTAATTAGTGTTACGTGCAATACACGTGCTTTGGTATTTCAAGTGACTCTAATTTTTCTCTTATCTATAGCTAATCTGCAAACTGGTTTCCGTGCTGAGTAAGAGCACCGTTGAACGCCTGCTGCTCCCTCGATTCTGCGAATTGTGTGGTGACGGGAAGTTCTTTCAAGTTCGGAAGGTTGGAACATACAGTCTCAAAACTTGAAAAATTCAGAACGTTAGACAGTTCAAAATTGTTTCCTTGGAAGTGTCCTGACTTCTTCAGTAGATACAGGCTTGAAGAGACATGTGGCCCCTGTGACCTGAGTGAGGCAAATGTGTGAGCAGTGTTGCCCATTTTTACTGAAACCAGGGCACATGTAGGGACCTGGAGACGAGATCCTGTGAGAGGAAGCCCATTGCTGTTAGACATGGGAGGACCAGCTCTGCGACCTTGCTGGTTGCAGTTAGATGCCGTCACCCTGACATGCTTGGTCTTTCAATACCCGGCCTGCTGTGCTCTGGGACCCTCTTACCTTGGCCATACCCTCTAAAGCCAGCCCTTGCCTCCCTTTCCCTTTTAGTCGCTTGTTCATTTGGTTACCAGATTCTTACCTAACCCTTTCTAAGGCCACTAGACATCTCCCCCAACAGCCTCCCTGTCCTCGTCCTCCCCCTCCGTGCTGCGTGACTGGTCCTCTTCCCTCTAGTCTCTCCTCATGACTCATCGGCAAGAAAGATAGGCCTCATTTGCCATGCAGAGAATGTTAAGGGTCTCTTTCGCTTTATTGCTAACCAAATGCATTATGTATTGAGATCAATTAGGAGCCAGAAAGTGCAGGGATTTGGTACTGTGTTGTAAATTTTCGGTTTCCAATGCACCGGAGGCACTAGGCTGGGCCGTGTGGGCGGCGGGCTCGGTAAGTGCCTGCTGGTCGCCCGACTAGAGGGGTCATTGCCCCCGAGGCTTCTTGTTAGCTGTCACAATTTGGTAAGACAAAAAGGAAGCAGAGAATAATGGGTATGCCTCTTGCCTTTTTTAAGGTGTGTGCTACAAATTTTGGTGATATTTGTCATGCCGTTGGACAAGAAGCCACTGAGAAATTTTTGGTATGTGAAGTTTTGCCACTCGTATTTGCTATAGTGCATTTCTTAGGGCACTTTTAAAATCGGTTTGAAGTTTTATATTTATGAATCTGTTACTTTGGAATGACAGCTCAATTTTGCATTCATCAGTTCTAAATTTCTTGACTTCCAAAGCCAACGTTTTTCATAAGCATTAGGCAGCTGGTCCATGGAACAACATGGACGTCACCCCAGCCCACTTTCCTGTGGGCTTTTGCTGTCGCCTCCTAACTGATCGCTTTCCCTGGTTTCTTCTCACTGTCGAAGCCACTCTGTCTGTCTCTTTTCCACTGCTCTTTCTAGAACACTGCTCTACCATCTCACTCCTGGTCATCAAGACAAGTGGGGTTTTTCTGGGTTACAGGTTAAAATCCAGACCCTTTTTGGCCTTCTGAGTCCCCTCATAAGTGCTTTTCCAGCCTCGCCGCCAGCTGCCTTCCTCAGGTCTTAACACTGCGCCGGCCTGGGCAGGTCTCACCTTTGGCCACGCATCTGAATCATGGGATGGGCAGGGAGGCAGGGAGGCAGATAAAGCCCAGGGGTCTGCATTTCTGATAAACCCCCTCGTGATTCTGATGCACAGCAGGGCAGAGAAGCATTTCACTAGCCGGCGGGTGGCTTGTCAGCTCCCTTGAGGCTTCCTGCTTTTCCCCCTTCCACACCTCTGCTCATTACTGCCCCTCTCTTTCCAGTGTCTTCCCCACCTGGTGGGACCCAACTCACACTTCAAACCCAGCTTGAAGGTGCATATGCCTCTGTCAAGTTCTCTCCTTGTCTAGACTCATCTACCCACTGTGCCAGAGAGAATTAATTTCTCCCTTTTCAGCATCCCCATAACATTTTGCTCAGAGTACGTGCTTGTCTCTTATCACACCTCATTATAGTTTTGCTGATGTGGGATCTTCACCTTATCATGTTCATCTCTGTTTCCCTGGTGCCTACGCAGAGCTATGCTGAGTGCTTACCACTTTTATTTGACAGGCTATCCAACCTGTATTTTTATTGGACGTTTATTGGACAGGATTTTTATTGGTCGGGACATCTAACCTGTATGGTTAGAATTTAACCTCAAAAGAGCATACTCTTTAAATTGATTTTTAAATTTAACTTCAGAAGCTCATTTTATTTTATTTCAAGTGCAAGCCATGTCAACATAGTTACGACCCCAAAATAATTTGTTGTTGTTGTTCTGAATGTACAGCAAGTGTTGTCTTTCACTTAATGTAGCTGAAGGAAGAACAGCAGTGGCCGACATACCAATCTTCCCGTGGGCAGACATTTCCATGAGTATATGTTCCCATTTGTGGATCATTTTGGCTGATGATTTTACATTAGGATATAAAAAACAGCCTCATTTTTAAATGATAAATTTTATTTATTTATTTATTTATTTATTTATGTGTGTATGTATGTATTTATTTATTTTTGAGAAAGAGAGCATGGGAGCCGGGGGAATGGGCAGAGGGAGAGAGAGAGAATCTTAAGCAGGCTGCACGCCCAGTGCAGAGCCTGACGTGGGGCTCGATCTCACGACCCTGAGTGAGATCATGACCTGAGCCAAAATCAAGAGTCAGACGCTTAACCGACTGAGCCACCCGGGTGCCCCATTAAAGGATAAATTTTAAAAGACGATGTGATCATGACCTTCCTATAGATAGAACATGCCAAAGACTTTATTTAAGTCATTTATTCACGAGGGAAACAGTAGGGTCCAACACCCGGCTTAATGGAGAACTCAAAGTGCCGCACAGGTGCGGTCAGACCGGGGGAGACCGAGATGACCTCGCGGGGATTCCGACCTGCTCCGCATCCAGGGTGAGAATCAAGTGCATTCCGTGGGGCACAATTTGCATTTCTGTGAACAGGAATTATTTGCTTTACTATCAGTTTTTTACAATATACCTTCTATTACTAAAGGACCCCACTCAAAGATCCTACTACCTGGATGGGTGAGCTAGTTGGGATATCTACTCGATCTCAAAGTCATCTCACAGTTTTTCTCTATGTAATTCACATAGCACTTGCTATGTGAGTATTAGCCTTTTAACCAAGTCGTTTATTAGAATTCAGAGGTAAAGGAAATGTTTCTTTATTCTTCTTACCATCATTTCTCTTTGTCTCAAATGATTCCTTTTAGACTAGTATATATTTCCCATATATTTATGGTTCTGCCTTAATTACATCATTAGAAAAGGTTCTGCCCTTCCTCAGGGTAACCAAGTTTGAGTAGCATGATTTTATTTGCTTTGGTAGATACCAAAGTTTTTCGAGCTCTGCTCAGACAGTGTTTGGGGGATGCGAAAAGCCTGCGCAGAGTGCTTCATGGCCGTGTCCTACAGCGCGTCCCCCGAGGTCCGCAGAGCCCAGCTGTCACCCCTATTCATCAAGCTCATCAGCGACCCCTGCCGATGGGTAAGTGTGGGCGGCTCGGCGGTGCTGGCTGCCAGCCGCCGCTCCCCGACCGCCTCAGCTTGGCCTCTGGACTTGGGACTGTGTATTTTGTCTTTTCGGTTCCTACTTGGCTTACTTAGACCTCATGGGGATCAGAGCACTTGAAATCTCCAAAGCCTGGGTGCCTGTGAAGAAGGTGGTGCGCACCCTCACGTTTGTGGTGACCGGCCATGAAAGAGCAGTGAAACAAGTGAGCAGGGAAACACTAACTGGAGAGTTCCCTTCGCTGTTCCTTTCACACACGTGCCCGTCACGATCAGTAGTGGTCTACTCAGGCGCTTTATGGAGTCTGGACTTATTTGATGTGGAATTAAAATTCCAAAAGTATAAAAACTGTGCAGTGGTACTAAGCTTTTCTTGATTTTCTGTTGCAAATAGTTGATTTGGGATTTGGAGGACAACTCAGACAGCAGTAAATCTGCTGGGACATAACTCGGCAGACAGCGACTTGCCCAGGCGGTCGGCCAGCTGCCCGGTCGGGGGTCAGACCTGGCCAATGGCACGTTCACTGCGCTGTGCTCTCTGTTTGCAGGTGCGCCAGGCCGCCTTCCAATCCCTGGGCCCCTTCATTTCCACCTTCGCGAACCCCTCCAGGGCCGGCCTCTACATTCGAGAAGATGGCACCCTAAGCATCCGACCACCGGCTCAGGATTTGGACTCTGATCTCCCCTCTGGAGCCCCCCGTGCAGGCAGTTGTGGCAACACTTTCTCAGCCTGGTGAGCTCCAAGCAGGATAATTACCAGGGCCCGCACGGCACCTCAAGCGTCCACCTAAAATTTTAGCAATTATCTTGTCTGGAGTTTTAGTAACAGTGACCTTCTGGGCAAGATGGGATATTAGAGCTTTAATTATGTAAAGAAGCAAAAGTAATTGCAATAATGATTTTGAAACATGACTACTGGGTTATAAATAATGAAGCTACTGTGTCTCCTAAATTTAGATAAAATATTCATTGAGGGTAGTGATTAAATAACCTGTAAGGAAACTTTCTCTTACTTTTTGATTAATGAAGTTCTTTGGATAATTTACATAGGCAAGATGTGAGGTCTCCCAAATGGCTGTTTGTGCCTGGTGTCACATGCCCATAAACCCAGGATGTTATCTGCACGGACAGGTGACAGTCCTGACCCACCATTAGTGGATGCTATCCCGCCTTTCTAGTAAGTTCTAGTGATTGATCTTGGAGTTCTTCATCTTTCCTCGGAGGTTGATGGGTACACACCAGCCAGACCGTCTGAGGTCATCGCTAAGCGGCTCTCCCGTGCTAATGTCCTAGCGGAGCAGGAGGGTAGTGACGTACAGCTCAGAGGGTATACATCTTTTCACCATTGGTGCTCCCTCCCCTCCGTCCATCTCCACCTAAATTCACTGAGCTCCTGCTGGTGTCTGGCCTGTGTGCGGCACCTCCTCCTCCGAACTCTCCCAGTGGTTTCGGTGGCTTTCGTGTCCCGGTGGCTGCCCCCTGGTGGAGGTACTGACGGCAGGGAGTGCCTGTATTCTGCCCACTGAGGCCGTGACTGCAGACGCCAGGGCTTACCCACCCCTTGGACAGAACGGAGAGATCGGCTGAACTTCTGCATGGCATTTTCAGCACGCATAATACTCCCGAGGAGGGGGGCAGCGGGGGCTGACTGGACCTTTTATGCTCTTGTGAGGTTATGAGCTTCTGGCCCTAAGAGGTTGGATAGCCAGGTAGAGAGGAGGACAGGGCTTGGGAGGATGTGGGGCTCACGTTTTCCCATTTTACTTCCAGTCCATTACATGGCGCTAAAAGTACTCCCCTCCATCTTCCCTTAGTTCCACGAAGCCGGTGCACACGGAGCCAGACCTGCCCACGGGAGGCACGCCAACGGGAACCGGTGATTTCCAGCGGGTCATTAGCTCTGATGGCCTCATGGCAGACTCAGTAGAAGACTCTGCCTTGGCTGGAGCCGAGTTGACCAGGCTTTCCCCAGAGACCAGTGCGTCCTTGAAGCTCCCTGCTGGGAGTGACCTCCCCATCCACAGCCTCCCTGGACCAGGCTCCTCTACCTGCCCAGGGGTTCCTGAGGATGTATTCAATAATTTCTTTTATTGGCGAACTCCTCTCCCTGACATAAGCGAGGACCTAGAGCTGCTTCTGAGTGAGGCTAGGCCCCAGGAGAAGGGCTGTAGCAGGCCCGAGACTGTGCAGCACAGCTGCATGGCCAGGAGCGAGATTCAGAAAGTCCTTGATAGTTTGCAGGAGCATCTGATGAATGATCCCGATGTTCAAGGTAAGCATTGTCTCCCATGATGGAGGAGGAAACAGGGTATCTGGGGGTTGTGTGCTGGCTAGGCCCGTGTGCCGCTGCGCCTGCGTGTACGTGTGCGTGCGTGTGTGTTGTGTGCTCGCTTCGTGTCCACTGTGCACAGATGGCCAGGAGAGGGTCTCTCGGCCTCAGCACCGCCGGAGCCCTGGGGACCTCTGTGCAGGGCAGCTGTGCGAGGCTGAAGGTCGCTCAGCTAGAATGGCAGGTAGCGTGGGGGTGTATCTGTAGCGCTGGAAATTTTATTAGCTCCTCGGACGCTCTTACATCACTTCCTATGTGATGGGGCTTTTTCTAGGTACGAACAACTAAGGATGATGCTCCTTTCGGAGCTTATTAACTCAGCCCTGAACCAAACTTTAAGGTTTTTGTCTTTGTACAGCAAGGGAAAGTACAACTTCTTCTTTGGGGTGTTTTTCATGTTATGACTAGTGCTCCCACTGAGCGTCTGATCTGGGAGCCAGGCCTCATGATCCATATCCATTATCACGCCTCTTCCTGCTCTAAACGGTGCTATATTTGTATTCTTCCTTGGGTTGGGGAGATCGGGAAAAACAACACTTGCTGCTGTTGCCGGGCAAAGATTTGTGAAGCTTTCGGGAAAGGAAATGTGAAAATCAAGTTAGCCCTGTGATTATTCTTTCTCTTTAAATTTATAAAGGAAATTAAGTCAATGGTTGCCGAAGGAATGAGCACATGTAACATATCACTTCTAATAGCTATAGACAAAGGTCTGTTTTTGGAAACCACATTTCTAAGGCGGCGTTCATGTTAGTGCTGGGCCCCAGGCCGGGTGCTAGGCAGCAGTGACAGGCACATGGTTTCGTGGAAGGAGCTCCATACACTACCACTAGCACAGGCTGTGGCGGGGGCTGGGACGGGAGGCAGTGTGACGCACTGTGCCAGCACAGGGCAGGATACCTGGGGCCAGAGGGAGTGTCCGGGAGAAGACCTTGCAGAGCGGGAGGCATTTCATGTGGGCCCCAAAAGATGACAGCTAGGATCGCACTGCAGAGAATGGAGAGGGATGAGTTTCAGAGGGTTCCTTCAGGCCCTTGAAACCGTTTGTAAAATCTTGCATGTATGTGCGTGCCTCATTTCCATAGTTTTCATCAGAGCTCAGAGGGATCCGTGACCCCAGAAGTTTCAGAAATAAACAGCATGTTGGGGATTTGTGGACTGGCTGCAGCTGGAGACGTGACTCGGGCCATTGGGAAGGCCCTGGTGGGTTGCACTAGGGAGGTGGGATCTTGTCCTGGGCTGAGTGGGGAGTTAGCTACGAACTCTAAACATTTTAGTGAATCTTGAGCTCTGTTGAAGTTAACTTGTAGAAAGCAGGATGTAGGCACTATTTTGTGTGTGTGTGTGTGTGTGTGTGTGTATCTGGAGACAGACATTAGATTGTTTTTACAGAAAGGTGTGTGAAATATGTCATCTCTGCTGTTAGGAGGGTCTTGGGCAGTCATGCTGTGGACAAATGAATAGTCTTTGGGGCTTGGTGAACGAGATCTGTACTCATTTCTGTGCACGGAGATGGATCGATTTCTGGGGTATTTGGTGGGGGGGAGCAGGACCCCCTCACCGAGTGGGTGGACCTCCCAGACATTGGCCTTTGGGAACAGCGTGTTGTCTTTCTGTGAGAGATGATGGAGGCGAACTCTGATTGTCCTCATTGAGGCGTTTCGAGTTCAGATTTGATGCTCTGTGCATGGCTGGCGTTTAGTTGGAATAGTTAAAGTTAATGGCCTTAAATATCACCACCTCCCAGAGAGCTCATTCTGGGACTCCAGGGCCCGCCCACTGCCAGGACAGATGTGTTGACGGTGCGTGTGTGTGTGGCGCACCTGCTTCCAGACTGGCTTGTTGCAAAGATCCTTCTCAAGTGAATCCCTACCAACCAAATAAAGTTATTAAAATTCTTCAAACTTCTCTCCCTGCAGCTCAGGTCCAGGTCTTATCAGCTGCTCTGAGAGCCGCACAGCTTGACTCTGTGGGTGAGCCTGAGCACCAGGGCACCGAAGGTAGGAGCGAGGGGTCCGTCGCAGCTCCCGGCCCTGCGTCTGACAATCCCACAGCTCTCTCGGCTTCCTCAGTGCGGAAGGAGCCCTCCGAGCCCAGGACGTTACAAAGCACAGTAAGTGTTTGCCCTGTCCCTCTGCCACGGAGGGCGTGACAGAAATCACAGAGCCGCATTTTCTTTTATTACTATATCCTGGCAGAGATGATAAATGGCAACTTTAATTTTATTCTTAGGGTCATGTTTTGGATACCTAGACAAGCAACCGATCAGGTGATTGGTAACCTTGACCGTCCTCCACCAAAACGGAGTGGGGAGACCCACAAGCGCCTTCTTCAAAGATGTTGTCTCAGGTCTTTGTGGGGATTGACCATATATGTGCCAGTTTCCCTGTTGCTTTCCAAGGCAGGTTCTGTGGCCCCTAGAGCTGAAAGCCAGCCTCGGCCTCAGCAGGCAGACCGCCACGTCCAGCCCTCGCTCCGGAGGCGCTCATTAGGCACGGGGTCACCCCAGTAGAGGTACTGGCCTGCCGTTAGAGGGGAGACTTGAAAAGCAGCTCAGCAGCTTTTATCCTGCAGCCTGGAACTCGTCCCGTGAGGCAGGGACTGGGCATCCAGGAAGGGGAGGGGGCCCGAGGCTCGCTGGCTCTGGCAGTCTCCATAGCTTTCCAGCTCACGAGGGCAGGAGGCTCTGATGCCTTCCTAACTCCTAGTGACCGGCTCTGACCGCTTTGAGCTGGGGTCTTACCCAGGTCAGGGCGAGACTAGAGAATTAAAATCAGGGTGGGGTCCAAGATCATCAAGTCCTGGGCGTGTGGGCATCTCCTCATTTCCTGTGCCGTGGTGGATCATCTCTTCAAGCCCGTGGTCTCTAAGGCCAGAGTACTGATTGTTCCACCATCCGTGCAATGGATAACTGGATCCTAGCAACAGAATGAACTTATCACCTCCCTTCCCGTCTAGGCCTGTGCCAATAAAACAAAACAAAAGACCCACTTAGAAGCCTGAATATAAAATGTTTAGGAGTTTGTGATGGTTGTCTTTGATTCGTATAAAATGAGGGGGTAGTCTATTTTGCTGGTTTATTTTCAGAAACAGGCAAGAAAATGGTTGTTACCCATGTTGCCTAGAATGTGGAAATCACAGGTTAGGTAGAAAGGCATGGCTATGTCCACCGGAGTGGAGACCTGATCGGACTGGGGCTTCTTCGTCACGTGCAGAAGTGAGAGGAAGGGGAACGAGCAGGTTCCTCCAAGTTGGCTCTGTTGCCTGAAAGATTTTTGAAGGGCTCACGCAAGCCGACCTTTGGTTTATGTTGTGAGATGTCAGGGCCCTTGAATTTGCGGCTTGCTTCTCCAGTTCCACGGGAGCAGTCAGGATGCTTCCAGTTGCAAAAGAAGGAAAAGGGACCAAAAAACTCCCAGAGCTTAGTTGATGAGGATCGTGTCATCTCGCAGAGACGACGGAAGAGTGGCTGAGGCCAGGTGGCTGGTTAGTGCAGCTCTTTGGCATTGACCCTGCTCGCTGCTTTTCTGCCCTGCCTTCTTAGCACACCACCTGAGTCTCGAGATGCCCTTTGCGGGGGATGTGTGGGGGGTGTTGGTTGCTTCTCACTGGTGTCTTTTGACTGCCCGGTGGCTTTCTGGGGAGACGACCTCACAATGCCAACTGCACTAAAAACTCTGGAATCAGATTAACTCCCGAAAGAAGAACAGTGATATTACACATTAATGTATATGAAGTTATGAACTTGGAGAAATCGAGGTCTTAGGTTATCATGCCCAAATATTTCTGTTTTATCCTGTCCTCTATTAAAATAAGCAGTATATTTCAGTGAAAATATTGGGAACTGAAGGCTGTGGTAGCATGCCTCAGAGCAAACGAAGCATCTATCGGTGTATTAATCGACGTTCCTGGATCATATATTGAGCTGATTTGTCAGGATCCATTAAGCTGGTAGACAGTATGACATTTCAAGTGCACGTGGGAACCCATATGATGGGTGGAGGAGAAGGTCAGGTTCATCTCCGCTAATGTAATCAATGACCAGAGACTGGTATGTCCCTGTTGAGTGTTCTTTCTCATATTAATTATTAACCTACTGTAAAGGTTCATCAGCAGACATTAGAAGTGTTTGTACATGTGAAAATCGAGGATAGTTTTCCAGGTAAATACTCCTTTATGGGCCATGTCTTCCCCCAAATTAGACAGGTCTTCCCCTTGTCTGTCCATCTGCCCCGACGGGTCCACATTGCTGCGTGTCTCCAGCTCCCCAGAAATACTGGACGCGCTTGCTTGCCCTGCCGTCTGCGTGGTTTGTGTCTTCATTGTGTGACTCTTACAAGGGGGTTGGTTAACCATCCTGGGACCTTAGGCCTTAAAGAGTGGTCAGTGCAGACTCAAGTGGTGGCTTCTCACAGACACCCACCTGTCTTCTCTAAAGGCCTCAAGCAGTCTTGAGGTGAAAAAATGCATGGTATCTGTTTGCCTTGGCCCTTAAAATCACTGACCACACCCTCCATACCTGTGCAGTTGTCTTTTTTAACATCTGAGAGAGACCCCTGACTCCCAGGGAAATGCTCATCTTGGTCTGCAGTGGTCATTTCCAGCACCGAAAGCGGATTCTTGGAGGGAGAATGATAGGATGGCTCCGTGTTTGGGGTAAGTTGGTAACGTGTCCGATCAACTCTGCAGGACCCCAGCCGACCCTGCGGTGGAGCTGTTGACGGTCTGGAGACGGAGCAGAGGCATTTCCCCACCCCAATTAAGGAGAATAAGTCTAAATTACAGGTTTGTTCCTTGAAAAGAAAAGCAGCTCAAAATGTCACCTTTTCTGGGAGTTAAATTTATGAATGGCCATGGGAACCAGATATTTTTCTTCCGTCAATATTAATGACATATCTTCACTCCTTCTTTGTGTTGCTAATATTTCCTCTCTAACTTACTAAAAAAACAACAGATTTTAAAGGAGTGCTAAAATCTTTCGAACAATCTAGAACAGTATTTAATAAAGCAAGTCAAATAGGAGAAACCCTGACACCTGTGCGTTGCATTTGTATTTAGTGTCTATCTCTACAAGTCATTTCAGGGTTGGTTTTTGTTTTTGTTTTTGTTTTTGTCGTAATCTGAAAAGTTTTTGACAGATTCTTTGATTGACCTATGTTTGGCTTTGTTTTATCTTGTGGATAGGCTCTTGTGCTATGTAAGATGTCTTAAATGTTTGAAATTATCGTATCGCCTTGTCCTGACAGAAGAGAAGGTAAGTGGGTGATGTCACAGGAAGGTGCTGTCCCGTCAGCTGGAAAAAGCCATTGACAGTCAGCATGTCCCAGCCGGGGCTCTGGGTGCTGGGCAGCTACGAGAAAAGATCAGATCGTTTCCATTCTCAAGAGCTGTATGCATCAGACTTAACCCAGCCTTGGTGCCCAGACTGTCCTCTGAGCCATCAAATGTTAGACGAAGTGAGAAAAGATGAGCGTGGGCCTTGCTTTAACATCGTTCGGTCCAAGTTGAAAATTTCACCTGCAGACCAAGAAGGCCACCCATCCAGAGCCCCGAGCTTTTCGGAAGGCCTCATCTTCCCCTGACGTCTCTGCTTTGTGGTTTTCTCCCCCAAATCCCAGACTCCTTGTTTCTCCCGAGCGCTCTCCTTCTTCCCTGCCAGCATGATGGTTTCCTTCTCCACTGTTTCCCAGGACATAATACCTCAGCCCCTGCTAGATCAGTACGTGTCGATGACCGACCCCGCTCGCGCCCAGACCGTCGATATTGACATAGCCAAACACTGCGCCTACAGCCTCCCAGGGGTGGCGCTCACCCTGGGCAGGCAAAATTGGCACTGCCTGAGAGATACATACGAAACGCTGGCTTCTGATGTGCAGGTAAAAGGAGCCCTTTCAGAGGCACCCACGGAAATGGGGCGGGCCGTCTGCTGGGGAGGAAAAGGGGAGCGCGTGGGGCTCACTGGCTGCGGGTGCCATTGGCATATTGACGGGGCTCCGATGAGGCGAAGCCCTTGGCGGCCTGTTCCCAGGCAGCATCAGGTTTATTCTAGAAACGCCACTTAATCTTGGTAATGTGGCCTTGTGCTTGCTTTCTGTGGTTTGTCTGTCCTCCTGCGCACTGTCAGTGGAAAGTGCGTCGGACCCTGGCCTTCTCCATCCACGAGCTGGCTGTGATTCTCGGGGACCAGCTCACGGCTGCTGACCTGGTGCCCGTCTTCAATGGATTTTTAAAGGACCTGGATGAAGTACGAATAGGAATTCTTAAACACCTGTATGATTTTCTAAAGGTAGGAAGAAGGATTAAAAAGGAAAAACAAACCTTCCCTCTTCAAAGCAATTCTTAAAGCCCGGGCTGTGGAAAGAGTCCGTGGACAACCGGAGCAATAGTCTGGGTTTCTCGGGTTCAGGGGTACCGTCTGGAGGCTTGACACTGGGTATTCTCGCAGTGATGGGTAAATATTTTTTTATCTTTCCTCGTAATCTCCCCGTCCCTTGGGGTCCTAATTCTGTGGAGTATGGTAGACATGTAGCCTCGTTGGCTCTCTGAGGAGGAAGGAGCCCAGGCCCCCCGGGTCACACGCGGTATGCCGAGGGTCACCCAGGGGAAGAGCCCGGCTGAAACCCAGTGTCAGTTCTCCCTGAAGGGCTCTCTGCAAGACATTGCTGCTTCCCTGCTTGCCTTCGTAATTTTTTTCCTAAAGGGATGATGAGTATAAAAATAAGACTTTAAAAATGACCTGGAGAAACTAATTACTTGCATCTGCATGACCACGAGCTGCCCTTGACGGATGGGGGTGCCTGATGCACTGGGCTTGAGCTAGCTTTCCCCTCGTGGTGCCGGCATTGGCGAGCAGAGCCAGCTCCCTGGGAAGCAGCAGTGGTGTTGTCTTCGGAACACACACACATACGTGTTGTTTGCAGGCAGGAAATTATGAGACAAGGAAGAGCTAGGGGGCATGTGGAAACCCACAAGCACTCACCGGGGGGAGAGGTTGGAAGCATTTAGGGGTCCATGTGAGGGCTGTTCCCAGCAATGTTAATTCACAGCCACCCCGGGTGATGGATGGAGTTCAGGGCAGTAGGGGAATGCCCAGTTCTTGCCAGGGACAAGTGCAGAACTTCAAGGGTGATCAGACAGTATATTTGGGGTCATTTTGAGGGATTCTCTATTTTTATTTATGTATACATTTTTAAAAAATAGTTGCTTCATGAAGACAAGAGGAGAGAATATCTTTATCAGCTTCAAGAATTTGTAGTGACCGATAACAGCAGGAATTGGAGGTTTCGATATGAACTAGCAGAGTAAGTAAAACCTGTTTGGGGACATGAGAAGGCAAATTAGATGGAATAATTCTTAATTTTCCTACCTTATAATTGATTTCTAAAGTAGCAGTAATAGTGTTCTTGCGGATAAAGAGATTATGTTTTTATTAAGGGATAAAGTGAATTCCGAAGCTCTAAGTTACAAATACCACGGTCTCCGGGGAGACATTCATTTTCAGATGCAGACAGGGCTCGAGTCACTGTGGAATTAGTGTGTTCTGCTGTTCTCTAAGGCAATTTATTCGAACCAAATAAAAGATGAATCACCCACTCTTCAATATTTTCCTGTTAATCGGAAGAGTTTTTGCCAGAGCTTTCCTGAACATTCTGAGCGCAGCCCTCTCTGCAGGGCACAGCGCGGCGTGTGCACTTCAGCTTCTAAAGAACATGACGCGACAGAGAGAGACAGGGGAAGGTCTCACCCAGACCAGACGATTATTAGATAAAAACGTCGCCCAAGGTGGCTGCTCTCTGTGCGTCATTTTGTGTGTGAAGGGTTTATTTAATCCCGGCTTGTGCTGGCCAGAGGGGTGCAAAGGGTGGGCGCTCTTCTCTAACAGCCACCGCTCTGAATAAGTCCCCAGCCCCAGGCGTGCCCTGTGCTTTGCCACGTGCTCTGCACAGTGACCAGCGGGTTTGGTGGCCGTGGTGGGTGGCCGGGTGGCCATTTGCCCCTTGCCCAGGCTGTATCCCCCCAGCTTCAGTTTTCATTTTTCTTACCCTCCACTGGAAATCTCTCCAATCATTGTCTTTGCTGTAGAAATCCATCAAGCTTTTGCAGCTATTCAGGATATGATTTGGCCGATGCCAGGGGCAAACTAAAAGATTTTCTCTTTGCTGTGATCTTTAATCATTATGCTTAATTTGAGAGATTGAGCTTTTAGTCATTATGCCGTGTTCCCAGTTTACATCGGAGACAAAAACAGGCCCCTGTTTTCCATGAAAGCCTCGCGCCCTCTAGCGGCCGTCCGCGGGAACTCGGCCAGGTCCGTCTCCGGCCGGGCGACCCGCTTCCCCGGGGCGGGCGGTGGGGGCGGGGGGTGGCGGCCGGGGGTTGGGGGCCGGGCCCGACTGACCCGCTTCCCCCGGGCCGGGATCGCGACCAAGGGACGGGGGCCGGGCTGACCCGCTTCCCGGGGGCGGGGGGCCGGGGCCCGGGGCCGGGGACAGGGCCGGGGACAGGGTCGGGCCGGGGCCGGGCCGGGCCGGGCCGGGCCGGCAGGGCTCGCGCCGCCGACAGCGTTATCTCGGAGCTCTGGCTATCTTCCATCTCGGCCGTGGTTATTGAAGCCGGACCCGCTGATATGAATTCCGTGTTCCCCCTGCCCGTGATATTGCTATCATTTTTCTGAAAACAGAGCTTTTCGATATGAAAGTATTCACCGGCACTCCTGGTTTCTGGTTCTAACTTCCTTCCAATCTCTTTTTCATTTCCTTTCGTTGCCAGCGTGGAGGTGATGCCATTTATTTTCCTCCCGCTCCCGCGTTCCGGTTTACAGACAGTGGAAGCCGCGGCGGCGGGCGCTCCCCGGGCGCGGGGCCGGCGCGCGGTTCTCCGCAAGCGGACCGTCCGCGCGTGGGAGCGCAGGCTCGCGCGGGGCCGCCCGCCGCCGGGGCCGGGCCGGGGCCGGGCCGGGGCCGGGGACCGGCGGGAGCTCTGCCGCCGTGGTCTGCGTGCCCGGACTCTGGGAACTCGAGCGCTGCCTATTTTTACCTTATCTGATCTGCCAAGTTTTATGTGCTTTCCAGCCGATAACCTCACGGTGAAATATTATCCCTGCTCAGAAATTCCTCGGCCTCTGTTTTACAAAGTGTAATTTATTTCCTCCTTGTTTGATTTGTTTGAGTGCGAGATGAGGAATGAAGATTTTTTTTTTTTTTTCCCACTTTTCTTTGCATGGCATTTCACTCAGCTTCTGCTTTTGGCATTTCACCGACAGAAAGCCGTGCTGGGTCTTCTCTTGCCTTATCTCCCAGCCTGGCTGGCTTTCCCTGTAAGACGAGATGAGAGTAAAGAGAAATTAGTAAGGAGGTTGGTTTTTTTTTTTTTGTACCCCCCAATAATATTTATTTATTTATTTATTGAATTTCAGACAGCTGATACTCATTTTGGAGCTCTATAATCCCAATGACGTTCATGATTACTTAATGCATATTGCCTTAAAGTTGTGTGCAGATAAAGTTTCTGAAGTTCGGTGGATCTCCTTCAAACTAGTAAGGAATCATGGCTTTTTTGTTTGTGATTTTTGGAAGTAGGAATATTTATTCCTTCCATTTTAACTTCTTTGTTTTCTGCCCTTGGTTTCTCTGGATACCTAGGAAACCAGCCTTTAAATTTTGAAATTAGTAAACTGTATTACAGTTTTATCAATACATAGCCTAGTTTTTTTTTTTTTCTTAAGCTGTATGCTTCAGTGATAGAAATTAAAGATAAATCATTTTACATGAGAAACCCTTCAAACCATGGCTCAGTGTTCCCTTTAAACTCAGACTGGGCTTGACTCAACAGCATGGCTTTGTAGAAAAGCAGTCAATGGGCAAGAACTCCAACGTAGAGAACTGGTTCTGTCTTACGTGGGCTCACACCAGCTGAATACTGTGGGGGGGGGTGACACTTGAAAATTCCAATTTACTAAGGTACTCTGATGCTATTACAATTTTACAAAAATGACATGTTCTGAAAGGTAATGATTTAGTTATTATGCAAGGGGCCATTTTCTAAAATTCGGAATCTTAATATTAAGAATGTGTTTTTCTAATGCTGGGCCCTTTTAAAATTTTATTTCTAAGAAGGGTTTCACGTGGCTGAGTGTGCGTATGTGCATTGCCATGTACTTTAACATCCTTTCCCCTCTGTGTTCTAATGATGACTGTGACAAAAATTAACTTTCTCCCTTGCTTATAAATTCATTTTAAATGTGCATAAACATGTCTGGTTTCTGCATTGAGTAGGATTCATGACTCAAATGGAGGGCGTTTTAAATGTGCTCTTCTGATATTTCCCACAGGTTGTGGCCATTTTACAGAAGTTTTCCTCCCACAGTGAGAGCGCACTGGGGTTGAGTTTCATCAGTGAGCTCGTCGTCAGGTTCCGGCACTGCGCGAAGTGGGTGGGAAGGCAAGCTTTCGCTTTCATTTGTCAGGTTAGCACGGCCTGGGGGGAGTCTCCCCTGGGCTTATGTTGCTGTGGATTGATACCAAATGCACCAGACACACAATCCCAGCCCTGAAAAAACAGCTGGGAATTTGGGGACCAGTGGACCGAACCCCTTTATCTCCCAGGAGACTGTGATCGGCCCAGTCAGGCAGTGATTGTCCCAGGGTTACCCAACCCGTCTGTGCGTTCGTCCTGTAGATTCTGGCTGAACGGTTCCTGTGTGCCGGGCATGTTCTAGAAGCTCCTGCTCTGCCGGCACCGTACATCTGGTGAGGTGAGGCCGAGGCCCAGAGCCCCGCATCTGCTGTGCCCGGTCCAGGGCCATGGTCATCCCGGCACCAGCCCTCAGCCTGCTGCCTGGGAGGGAAGGCGGGGCCAGGAGCGGAGCAGTAGGGCAGAGTTACTGAATCCCTCTAGAAGTTCATGTCAGCCTGTCCAGCACCTCAAGTCACCTTCTCCACTTAGTGTCCTGGAAATGGGGCAGGTTCAGTTTTGCTGGGGCTGATGGCTGCCATTTCTTGGACTCCTCTGTATGTCAGGTAGCTCATCACACACCTGGTCCTCAGTGGTAAGATCAGCCATGGATCAAACACGTCACACTCATGTACTTTCAGACCAGGTGTTTCGGGTGAAGCAGTTGAAGCCCAGAGAGGTTAAGTAACTTGATCAAGAGTGCACAGCAAGTGTAGAGCTGGGATTTTTTTTTTTTTTTCTGCTAACGTGTTATTTAAAAACTTTTAACTTTTTCCCATGCACGTTTTCAAGCATGTACAAAGGTGGGAGGAACAGCATGGACTCCCCATGAACCCATCACCCAGCTTTGCCAATATGACAGTAAAGCTGTTACTGGACTCTAGATGACCCTCACACCCTCTTCCCCCACCAAAGGACTCACCAGGGCCCCCTGTGTGGCTGGTGGGGCATCACAGGGTATTTTGGCCCTCTCCTTTGAATCGGCAGTGGGTGGCCAAGTGAAATGCCAAATTCCCAGACCAAAGGCCTCCCATCACAGACTTCTGTAAGGAAGACGCCAATCCAGCCATTTTGTGGAGAAAGGGGTAAATGAGATATCTTTGCTTTTGTTTTTTAATTCTTGATCTGAGATTTAGAAAATCCATGATGAGACAAAAGGAAAAAAATACCCACTAATTTTCTTCAGGAAAAAGGAGAGTATATGCACTTTCAGGAATTATTAAGGATTTAGAAAACCCATGATATGAGACAGACCAAAGGAGAGAGGGGGTCACTTGATGGTTATATCGGTGCGCTCTGGGGAGAGAGCCTGACCTGGGGGCTGGCGAGGGTCTGTGCTGTAGAGGGGACGAGCCGCTAACTCTGCGTGGCCTCAACTTCTGAGAACCAGTTCGTGAACACCTGGTGCTCTTGTCACCCTGTGGTGGGAAGGTCTGCAGGACTTCGAATCCACAGGCCTGGCTGGGACTCGGCCCCTGCTGGTGCTCACGGACCAGGCGGCCTGTGGGTGGCACCTCATGGGACCCCAGTTCCCTGCCCTGTAAAACTAGGCTCATTCTGGCTTCCATGGCCCGCGGTGAGACGCAGGGTTCTGTCAGGGTGGCAGGGTGCAGATGCTGCCTGTCCTCACAGACACAGTGTTTGTCAGGGGGTCACAGAGAGGGCCGGGCCCCCACTGGAGTCTGGAGTCGGGTGGCCCTAGACAGGCCTGGCACCCGAGTTCTGGTGACTAGCAGAGGGGAGGGCTCTCAGCCTTCACTGGTGGGTGCTTTGCTAGTTTCTTTGCAAAATGTTCTGCCGTCCCCACCATGCCCCCTCATGTAGATGGGGAAACCGAGGCCCGGACAGGTGAAGCCGCTTACTCCAGGCCATGAAGCCAGTAAGTGACCAAGTTAGGTTTGAAGCTAGGCCTGTCTGACTCTGAAGCCTTTATTTTTTCATCAGATTTTACACCACCTAGAACCCAGTCTTTGGTAAGGAATTAGAAATTGTTAACTGTGTTTCTAACCAAATTCAGTGGTTGAGATTTTAAGATTTGGGGACACACACACACACACACACACTCCTCAGACCCGCAGATCCCGAAATTACTTCTTTGGAATCGTGGAAGGGTATGTTTTTAGAAGAAACCTGCTGACCACTGTGGAAAAGTGTCGATTCTCTGGCTGTGGCTGTCTGTCGTGGCAGGCGGTGGTGGACGAGGAGTGCATCCCCGTGGAGCAGTTTGTCGAACACTTGCTCCCCAGCCTCCTAAGCCTTGCCTCCGATCCGGTGCCGAACGTGAGGGTTCTGCTGGCCAAAGCTCTGCGGCAGACGCTGCTGGGAAAGGGTATGTGGACCGTTTTCCCGCACTTACACATCTTAAAGCTCACCAGGCGGGGCCGCCAGACCTTCCTCTGTAGGAAGTTGCACGCGCGCTTCAGACTTCACTGTGTGGATCCATGTATTAACTTTGATGCAGAACAGTTTGTTATTTATAAAATGGTTGAGTTCTCACATTTAACGAGCTTCACGCTAAAATGCAGTACTTCACACAGTCTTCTAGAAATGGGGAAGAGTTTTGTAAATGTTAACGATGCAGAGAGCATGAATGGCAGCAAACGTCAGCCTTAATTCCCGGGAGGTCTGGAAGCGATCACCGTGTCCTGAACAGGACGGATTGGGAGACTGTGTCCCTCAGCCGACGCAGTGGCGCCTACTGTGTGCGTGGAGCCCGCCGCGTCCTGCCCGTCCCCGCTTCGCACCCCGCCGGCCACCCGCGCCCCTTCCTGCCCTCCGCGCACGTGCAGTTCTTGCCTAGTGGAGGAAAGGAAAGATGACATGGGAAGTTTTTAAATTATAACTTAAAAAATACGCATACCGATTCTCGGGAGTCCATCTTTGAAATTTAGGAAGTTACTGTGACGAAAGTCATCGTGGTATCACTGTGAAGGCCTCATGTGTCCGGTTATGCTATGCAAGTGCTTCCTTGTCCTGAGGTGTGGTTTGCAGAACCCCCAGCACTCAGGTATGTTTGGGAGCACGGGGCACGGGCATGTGAGCCAAACTCTTGTGTTCTCTCTCCAGCGTACTTGAGAAATGCCGGTAACCCTCATCTTCAAGTCGTTGAGGAGACCGTCCTGGCCCTGCAGTCCGACCGGGACCCGGATGTGTCCTTTTTTGCCACCCTCGAACCCAAGCGTCGGGGCACCGCAGACGCGCCCCTGCTGGAGGAACGGAGTTAACTGCCCTGGGCTCCCGTGCACCCCGGGCCCACCGCACATGGGCGCAGACCTCTCGGCCCTGCTTGTCAGGGGTCTCACCGTGTCATACCTTCCGAGGGAGGAAGGAGCTCTGAAACTTTGAGGACAGGCACTCAAATGACCTCTTTCCCATGCGCAGCCCCAGGGACTGCCCCGGGGACGGGCACCACCCTCTGCGCCCCTGGCTGCTGACCTGGAAGCCTGCCACCCGGTTGTAGGACCAGGTGGCAGCTGGGCACGGGGGTCCAGATCGCCTTCTCCATGACAGACTGACGATGATTTAAAGCCCCGTCCTCCCAAAATAAAGTAGTTTATTAGAAGCTCTTAAGTCTTTCAGAGACTTGCATATTTGGCTTCCCTCATGCTTTCCTGTAAAATACAGCTTATGGTGTTACATTTTATTTTTAACAAATAATGTACATATGTAAATAACTCTTGACAGGAAGAAAATATACTAACATAATACCAGCCTCCTGCCAGTGAACAGAACAAATACATCATTTAAATTTATGCTCCACTTGGAGTTGCTGCAAATAGAGCCCAATTTGTTTACTTTTGAAAAATGTGATAGTTAAGGCAATCTGCTGAAGAGTGATTTATGGCAGTCTTTCTAATATTGTACTTTTGTGTAAACTGTACTTGGAACTTTTCCTCAGGCACTTATCCCTCCCCTTCTTGCGGTGACTATCCGTAAAGATCCGTACGGGCCTTTGACAGAGGCAGAAAGAAAGATTTTTCATTCTTACATGGATTTATTACCCTACGTTTAAGAATGCGGGAGGGAAATTGATCATTGAGATGCGGGATATTGACTTTACAGCAGATGCTTTAGGATCTTTAGCGGAGACTAGGAACCCGCAGTCCCGATCAGTCCGCACACTTGCCAGGGATTTGGGGATTAAATTATGGTGCTTCAGATTTCATTCTTCTAAAATTTAGACCAAGATGCTCTAGAACTTAAACGGTTTTCATGAATAACTTGAGATTCTATAAACGTTTCATTAAATTCTGTATAATGTGTAGGCTCATGTTATTTTTCTTGCTTCTATTTTTAATCTTGAACGCAGGCACAAAGGAAGGAAGGAGTGGCCCATTTGGGGTTCAAGAGCTGGCTGCAAAGGGCACGTTGCTATTGCCGTTCTTTCCTTGGATCTTTTTCTTGTACTTCTTTTCTTTCTCCCTTTTCTTAAAAATAAAATTTCTGGAGCTATATATTGAATTTCCTGGTATACAGGATATTGTCCCCCTCCCCCAAGTTCCACTGAGCTGATTCTTTAAAAAGAAAGGAAGGAATCTATACCGTGCCAAAGAAAATAAGGTACATGTGTGAGAATTTCAAATTGTAACCCAGGGTGGCATTCGGGCAGCCCCAGCAGAGCGTGAGCTTATAAACCGTGGAGGCTACGTATTAAGAGAAACAAAAATCAGTCAGTCCATCTTGTGTTCAATATTTGCCTAAAGTAAATAGAAGGAGATACTGTTTTCTCTTCAGTGACAGATAATTTTTAGCCTGTTTTTTTTTTTTATTGTTTACAGATCGAGGTTGTCAGATTGTTAAAGTCTGTTGACCAGACAGCAAGCACAATGATCACGCGGGATTTTGTGTTCTGTGCGGAGCTTCGCTTTCCACTAAGGAAAAACAAACCACCTCAGTTTGTGTTGCGATGCATAGAATTTGCTGAAACAGATGGGCTTGTAGAGATTTGTAGACTCTTTGGTAAATAATCCAACCTTAAAAAAAGTTGAGTCTACTAAAAATGGTCTATAACTTAATATGAATGCCTTTCCAATGCAACTTTTTTTTTAATGACCATAATTTCTCTGCAAGAAGTATGTTTAAGGCTCACGTTTTATTCATGTTTTGTAACAACTGAGATTTTTCTGAGGTGGTTCAGCTCCCCTCCTTGCCTTCCTTTCTCCTGTGCTCCTTCCCCCATCACTATAGCTCTATGCGTTAATCGTTCCTAGGTGTGGGGCGCTGAGTGTTTGCGATTTGATCATTACACGTAAGCTTCCTGTGTGCTTGAACACTCGGCCTCCTCTTGGGTGAATCAATGGAAAACCACGAGGTGGGTTTCTCGCAGATGGAGCGCCCTTGAAAGGCATCTTCACAGGGTAGCCGTCCCAGCCCCGCGCCGAGTGGATGCTTCCTCTCTGCTAGAGTTTTCGCCAGCAGCTTTCTCCCTCCGAGAATTCGAGAGCATTTTCAGAACTGATGGGTGTTCATGCGGCTCTGCAGACCCTCAGGAAGGCCCGGCTCCCGCTTCCGGAGCGGCCGGAGCGCCGGCCCGGCTCCGCGGGGTTTTCCACTCGTGCCAGGGATAGGGCTGCTGAGCGCAGCTGTAGACCAGCCCGACCCCTGTAGACGAGGCGCGCCGGGAGGACTTAGGGCGTTTCCACTCCAGGCCCTGGGCCCTGAGTTACGCAGACTATTGCGAACGGCCACGGCGGCCTGTGACCTGGAGTGAGGTCACCCGTGACAGGGCAGTGAGTGACCTGGCCTCAGGTCGCTGCGCCTCCAAGCCCCAGGCCATCGGGCCATCGGGGACCCCAGGGCCGTCCGCAGGGCTCTGTCCCGCGCGGGGCGGGGGGGGGTGCGGTGACGGGGGGCGGGGGTGAGGGGGCCCGTGCGGCGGGGGGAGAGGGGGGGCAGGAGAGGGGGGAGGAGGGCATGCAGCGGGCAGGCGCTGCGGGCGGCGGAGCACGGGCGGGGGAGCCGCCGGGGGGCGCCCTGGGCTCGGACCCGGTGGCCCGCCGGCGGGGCGGGCGGGGCAGGCGGGGCGGGCGGGGGGCGGGACCGCGGCCCCTCCCCGCGCAGCCCCGGGCCCGCTCCCCCTGCCAGAGCGGCGTCGGGGCTCCGGTGGCCGAGAGCCCGGCGCTCGACTTGGCCCCAGACGCCTCCCCAGAAGCCTTCGTCATGCGAGTGCAGCTGGAGGAGACCGGGGAGATGTTCCAAGTGACAAACTGCCGCAGCGACATGACGGTGCGGGAGCTCAAGGAGGAGCTGGACCTCACCGCCGGCATCCCCTTGGACCTGCAGCGGCTCCAGTACCTGGACCAAGGTGACCCTGCCCACCCCCTGCCCTCGCCACGTGTACGGCCTCCGCGGGGGCGCCGGGTCTCCTTCTGACCCTGCGGCCCCTGAAGGGACGCCTGCCCGTGTGAGGACCCCCCCACCCCCACTCCCAGGTGTCAGAACAAACCCCATCCCGCCCCCAGGAAGCCCCCAGATAGAAAAGCCAGCCTGGCCACACAAGGACTTCCCAATCTTGACAAATCGGGTTCAGGTTAGACCTCACAGGCAGACCCTGTCCACAGCAAGACCTTAATCCACAAACAAATCCAGCTGAGTCAGGACTCTCCTCCCAAAGCAAGCTGGCTAGTCAGACCCGCGGGCCCTGAGCAGATCCTGGCGGTGTCTACCACCCCAAATCTCCACAAAGGCGCTGCCCCCTCAGCAAGACCCCTCCGGCCCTTCAGCTGCCAGTGTCTTCATCAGGGACCCAGATCCCAAAGCCCACAGGGTCCACACAAGACCGGAAACCTGAAACAAAGCCTGTCCTCAGTGGGACCCTACAATCTAGGGCAAACCTCCCGTCAGGACCCCAAACTCAGCGCAGACTTCCAGATCCCCATGTTGGACGCATAACCGCTCCCCCCAGTCCTCCAGCCAGCTATGTCCACACAAGGATGCCAAAGCCTGAAGCAAACTGTGCCCAAGACTGAGCCCCAAATCTCCAGCATAACGACAACTACCTCAGAACCTCAGATCCTCTGGCTGATGGGTCTACACGGGGACACTGAAGCTCAGAGCAAACCATGCCCACTTCAGGGCCCCCAAGCCCAGAGCACACCTACCTAGGACTAAACCCCAAATGACTATCCCAGAACCCCAGATTCTCCGCAACTATGTCCATGAGAGGACACTCTGAAACAGACACTGCTTACCTCAGGACCCCCAAACCCAGAACATACCTGCCCAAGACAACCCCAAATCTCCAGACTAACCATGACAACTTCAGACCCTGAGTCCTCCAGCAGCCGCTTCCCCACGAGGATGCCGAAGCTCATGAATTCTGCCCACTCGGGACTCCTAAACCAAGAACGAACTTGGCGACGATTGGACCCCAAATCCCCAGGCTAACCATGCGACCCTCAGAACCCCGAATCTCCTAGCAACCATGTCCACTGAAGCATGCTAATACCGGAAACAAATTGCTCACCCCAGGACCCCATAACTTTGTGCCAGCCACACCCATGTTTGGACCCAAGATAAATACCCCAGACTACCCCTGCTTGCAACAGAAACCTGAATCCCAAAGCAGATTCTCTCCAGAGCAGGACCCTAAATCCCAGAGCCAACAAACCCAATTCTGAGCCCCCAGTGTCTAACTAGTCACTTGTGCACCCAAACCCCAATCCATCGGCCATCTCTGTCTAAATGAGGTGCCAGAACCCAAAATGAACTCTTCCCACACCTGGAAACCAGTTCCCAAGCTCACCATGACCATCCCAGAGCACTAATCCCAACCAAAATAACCTCACAAGGTCTCCGAAGCATGAGACAAACTCTGCCCACAATAAGACCCCAAAACTCACACCAAACATACCCATATCTGAACCCTAAATCTTATGCAAACCATGTTTAAGCCAACCATCTCCATGTAAGGAAGCCAGAGTTCAAAGTAAGCCTTGCCTCCATAAGGACCCCAAAACTTGAAGAAAGCTCTACTTGTATTTGTACCCCAAATCCCTCAGCCAGTCTTATCCACACCAGAACCCCAAGCTCTAGATCAAATCTTGCCCATCTCAGGACCTCAAATTTCAGAGCATTACCTGCCGCCACAATTCCCAAGGCTGACCTCTCCGATTCCTTACCCTCGGTGGCTACAGTATACAGGGCTACATTAGAACCCCAAGACCCAAAACAAGTTCTGCCCATGCAAGGACTCCACATCCCAGAATAGACCTTTTCCATACCAGGACCCCCAAACAGAAAGCAAATCTTGCCTTCATCAGAATCCCACATCCAGAGCAAACTCTGCCCTCATCAGGACCCCAAATCTCAAAGCAAACCCTACCCATATTTGAGCCCCAAATACTGGCACTAACCCAGTTTGTATCAGAACCCCGAATCTAAAGCTGTGTCCTTGTCCATGTCAGGAGCTCAAAACTAGCCCAATTGGAATCAGAACCCAGCACCAAAGCTTGCTGGGGCTAAATCAGGATGCCGAGGCCCCCTATCCAGACAGATCCCATGTGGTTGGTACCCAGTGGGGGGTGAGGACTCTAGAGTCCCATCTTCCCGTCCATCAGTCTACATCCCTCAGCCTGAGGACCTGGCTGTCCCTGTCCTGATCCCTACAATATTTAGGATATGAGAACGGGATCAAAGCCCCTGGGCTCCATCATCTCCCCACCCGGTTGAAATCAATGCAAAAATACTTCAAGGAGACGGAGGTATAAAAAGCTCTGGGCTGCAGCCCGGAGGGTGTGGAGAGCGATTTGCAGAGACACTGCGGCTGTAATGCAGAGCCGGGAAGCGAGGGAGACAGGCAGAGATCTGAGATCAGCCTGTCTCCACTCTCCGTTACCCCAGACACTGCCCTTCCGGGGCTCAGTTCCCTAAGCCGGAACACAGAGCCTTGGGGCTCTGGACTTCGGAGTGCCAGGTCCCCCTCTAGACGGGGATGACTCGGGAAATTAAAAATGTCCATTGAAGGCCAGAATACCTTCCTTTGCTTGCTCTGGTGTAGGCTAAGCACCTTCTGTTGACATCCTTATTTTGCTATAGGGGTGTTTGGAAGCTGCTCTGGGGCATTTTGGGGGCTTTATCTGGAAAGAAGTATGTATCTCAAGCCTGGTCTCTATTTAACACGTTAATAACGATGAGGTGAGCTGCTAAAGGACAGTAAGTGTTCCAAACCAAGTATTTCGGAAATTATGGATCCTGAGCTACAAACGTCTGGCACCCCTTCTGCTAATTTATTTTCCCCGATGAGCTGTGCTGAGCCATAAATTCGAGAGAGCTAAGAGGCAATGGAAGACACCCAGTGACTTGTGCTGATGTCACAATCCTCTCACTCAGCAAGCACTTAGTAACTGGGAGAAGCTTGACCTCTCCTGCGGCCGCAGCCCTTCCTGTTAACGGCAAACAAAAATGAAAGAAAGAAGGTGCTACTACATTGAGTAAAGAAAATTTGGGTTCCTGCCTATAAATAACCCGCTGACGCCTCTTTACCCACCTAAAGGTTGTCGGGCAAGCTCACATGAGCTAACGTGTACGTGAAAACCGTGAGAGACCAATCTAAAAGGGGTGAGCAAAATTCATGGACGAGGGGCGACCTTACGTGTCTGTTGTCAGCTCTAATAATTTATTTAGCTGGTGATAATTAGTATTTGTGTAAGCCAAAGGCAGTTGCTGCGGCCTATAAAGAGAGAATGTACTCTGATTTCTCCAAGAGCTGTTGAGCATGTGTGAATCGCACTCTTGCCTTTCTTTGGGAAACCCAGCTTTACCCAGTTTTTTTTTTTTTTTTTCAAAGTTGTTAGGAAGTCAAGTTGTCTTACTGAAGACTAATTACTGATTATCCTCTGTGTTAGAACCACAAATAAGACCCTAATTAACAAATTTGCTAATTGCTATTCCCTGTTCTCATCTACCATCCGAAGTTTCTCATAAGCACCGAAGGGGGCCAGCGGAGCCGAGAGCGACACGTGCGTGGCGCTGGAGGGAAGGCGGGTCTGGTTGGAGGGTCCTGGGGCTGCCATTTCCTGGCCACGGGATCCTCAGCTGCCTCACCGGGAAACGGAGATGACAAACCCGGCTCGTCATGAGGGTTAAAAGCCTGTAGGTGCTTGGGCCGGGCACTTAGTAATCCCTCAGCCATGAATCCAAACAACTCGTGAATTCTACCCGGAGTAATGGCGGCATCACTTGTAGACAAAGAAATTATGATGTTATTCTTAAGCAGGATTATAGGGGGCTGCGTGAGGAAATGGTGTATTTAAAAAGGCAAACTAAAGACAACTTTGAGGAAAATGTTCTCGAGTCCTACAGTCTGTCACTCCGACGGTCTTTCCCAGAGGGTCTGAGCGTATGGAGTGCGAGTGGATCCACTCATCCCATTGTCTCCAGTAGTGGAGGGGTGGTTCTGGGTGGTGAGCCAACAGAGTTCTAACGTCCCAAGTCCAAATCATGCTGAATGGCAGCCTTACAATTCTTCCATTACTATAAATGCTCAACGTGGGCAACTTTGTGCCCTAGGGGCCACGTGGCAACGTCTGCAGACCTTTTGGATGGCCACCGCTGGGTGAGGGTACCACTGCCATCTGCTGGGTAGAGGCCAGGGATGCCGTGCCCAGGGCAGCCCCCTACCCCAGAGAATGACCCAGTCTAAAACATCAGTAGTGCCAAGTGGGAAAAAAAAAAAAAACCCTGGAAAGACCCAGCACAGTTTTGCCATTGTTACATCTTCGGCCAACGGCTGACAACACTAACCAGAGATTAGTGTTTTAGTTTCACGTCTGACGCAGGTAGGTCCGCTGTGCTGCGTCTGTGACGTTCGCTTCGAGAGGTCCTATTCATAGACTTTGCCTCATAAAAAGACTTTACTGACTCATGTGTCTTTTTTTTTTTTTTTTTTTTGCCATAGAACAAGTTATAATTACAGAATTTTAGAAGCTGTTGCCCTTTTTTGTCGTGTTTTGTTTTGTTTTGTTCTGGCTTCTGTTTGAGCTGAGCAAATTAAGTTTCTAAAAAGCACTAACGACCCCAAACAGACTCCCCTGGGCTCATCACAGGAGATCAGCGCTCAAGGCTTTCAGATGATCTTTGTGATACCCAAGATCAGATCATCTCTTAAGATAACCAGTGTAATAGTTTATCTTTAATACCCATTTTTTTAAAATAAAAATTATTCCCAGTAGGAATTTGGATGGACGATACTACGTTGCAGTTCCATGATGTTGTTCCTGGTGGAATTATTTCATTATGTGTCTGGCGCCATGATGGATGGACGGAACTGGTTTTGGCAGCTGTGGAAGGGGATCCCAGTAAGGTGCCCTCATGTGTCTCTAAATGGGTATCAGACTTCACAGGGCAACTGTAAACTCTGTGTGTGTGTGTGTGTGTGTGTGTGTGTGTGTGTGTGTGTACGGGGTGGGGTGGGATTCAGTCTTGAATGCGAATCTTCCAGTAACAGTTCCAGAGTAGGAGAAAAAGAGGCCACATGTCATAATGATCAGACACTGTATCAAGAGTTCCCACTCACTCTTGGGTTTGCTGTTTCACGGTGCTCCCTTACAACTCACTCCCTCCGCCCCCTGACCCCCACCGAGAAGACAGGAAGGAGGGCAATGGGCAATGGATTTTCTAGTCACACGTATATTTTGTAAAGTTGAAAACCTGATTTAACAGTGGGCGAAGAGCTCTGGGTAACTGGGAAATGCACCGTCCAGAGCGTGTGACGGGGCAAAAATCCGAGTGGGGGTCTGCCCCTCCCCTAAGGAGGAAAGATCACGCACTTCTCGACACACGGCAAGTGCCAGCTGTTTGCCAGGCCTTGTGCTTGGCTCTCAGCTGAGCTCTGGGGTGGGCAGCAGGGAGAAGGGAAGAGGAAACCAGACCGTCTCCCCAACAGAGAAGCGAGGAGCGGGCAGCGGGAGGCCACTGAGGGAAGCAGTGTGTGTTCTTTCTAGAAAGTACATTTGGATGAAAGGGTATGAGCGTGTGAGGACAGGGTTTACTTTCAGCCAGGAAAGGGGTCAGGAAACGCTGGCTGCAGGAGGGTTGTGGGGATCGGGGATCCGGTCTGGGAGAGGTGGGTGGTCTCTGGGGAGGCAGGGCCAAGACTGAAGGTGGCAACCCCCTGCCTGTGCACCGGAGCCTTAGAAGGAGGCATCCCAGACGTGGTGCGTCCCCTTCCAGGTCCTTCCCTGGGGTGGTCCTGCTCCCGGCCTTTCCCTGCCCACCACCCCTGCTACCGAGGACTCAAGTCCTGCCTCGGTTTTCTGGCTCTTGCTCTGAACCTGGGGATTCCCTCCTGTCTCCCACACTCTGGGGCTCTGCCTCCCCCCACTGCCGCCCCCACCCCCGATGCCCTGCATCTGGGACGGAGTTCCTCTCTGCCGGAGTCCGCAGCCCTCCTCTCGTGCTCAGGGCCTTGCTTCACCATGGGATGATTATGTTACGGGGCTATTTTTCATCCGTGAGTGGAGTTCAGAGTGTTCCAAAAGTTAGCAGAGACAATGGGCCCGAAAATAGATCGGAAGGCCAGAATTCATCCAGTCTCCAGAGAAGTGCATTTCCCCCTGGGGAGGCCACTTCGTGTCGTCTGGCGTCTTCCTTAATGGCCACAACCACCTTCCTCTGGACACCCAGAAAAGCTATTTTCTCTCTTCAAAACACCGACAGGAAGAACTTCCTGCCTCCCGAGCCTGCCCGATGGTAAATGCGTATTTCCTGGACATGTATAGAATTCGGTCAACAATGTCCCCCGCTGGGTGTGTTCCAGCTTCTCGGTCAGGGCTCGCTGCTCTCTGTTCCCATCCCGAGCCTTCCCTGGGCCTTCGAGCCACCCTCCCCTCAGGAGGGTCCCGGCCCCCACCAGCCAGGTGCAGCTCGCACTTTTGAAAGAACTCAGACTCACTGTGTGGACCCCCTTTATTCTGCCCAGCTCTCCTGCCTCGGTGTCGATGAAGGTTCTCTTTACCAAACTGCAAATTCGCAGCGTTTGGAGCACAAGCAGCGGAAGGCCTGGATCGCTCACAGAGCGTTCGTGGCCTTGTACGTTACCTCTCACAGAGGCCACTCGGACGCCGTGCAGTACCTTCTAGAACACGGTAATTTTGAGAGATGGCTGAGTATGTTCACAAGTTGGGGTCTACCGCGGGTAGGGAGGACAGAGTGCTTGTCTTCCAGGGCCTTCCGCAATGGCGTCCTGGACCCAAGTTGTGTCAACCACCAATCATGGTCCCGTGGGCCACTGGGGAGCCTCTGTCTGTAGGGGTCTTAGGACATGCTGAGTAAAGGCGGTTGTCCTCTCTCCTGGCCGGGTCTCAAGAAGATTCTGTCGTCAGAGATCAAACTTCTGGACACTAATTCATAGGAGTAGCCCAGAGAGCCTCCCGGCCTCTTCGAGCGCCGCTGGAGATGTTCCTGGACTCCCTGTGTTATTCCTGCCCCATCTGAGGTTGGGTTTCTGCCACAGTCCGAGGGGTCTAGCCCCAAGCCAGCATCACTCTCTTGGAGGGGGAGAGGGGAGCATTGGCAGGCCGGCTCTGAATGATTTCCTTCAGGAGACCATTGCCGCAAACCCCCTTCTCATCTCGTCTCCATCCCCGTCCCCCGCCACCGCCCCAAGGACAGGCTGTCACTCTCTCTCTCTGTTGATAGAAACAGCAGCCTTGGCCTGCATTGTCTCTGAATGTGAGGGCTTGCATGAGACTCGGCCGAAGCACGCTTTATCTTTATCTCCCCTGGTCGTAGGATATTTGTGGGAAAAGAGGCTCACCGATTGAGGTGTTGACCATTCCAGAACAATAGACAATGGCCGCAGATGGCCCAGGCCGCTGGCTTCCTCGGGAACAGGAAGAACATGTGATGTACTGTTTGGTCAGGGGTTTGAGGCCCAGAAGGGGCCTCATCTGAGGGTCTCCCCTATCAACTTGCTTTCCAATCTGAACCTTTCCTGCCTGTGGCCTTGATCCTGGCTCTCCGCACCTCGTCTTCACCCCCGCCCCTACCTCCCGCGAGCAAGGTGCCAGCATCCTCGAGGCCAAGGCAGGATGACTGGGTAGAGGCTTTCCTGACCATTTTGCTGCTTTCTCCACTGCTTTCTCCATGCCGCCTGTTGTGGGATGAAATATGGGCTGTTCACAGACCAGCAGTCCTTTAAGCTCATAAAAAGTCATTTTCACTCTGATGGAACTGTGATGTATTTGAAAGCCCCAGTTAAAACATTACAGCCAGCTTTGCAAAGTTTTCTGTCCTTTGCACACAGCCGCCGCAAAGCCGTGCCGAGGCTGAGGCTGGGCGTTAGGGGAACCTCTTTAAAACGTTACCTCACCGTCCAGCCATAGCTCATAAAAACTGGCTACAGAAATGTCAGCTGCTTGTAATTGAATTGCCTTGTTTTCTGTGTCATGATATTTGTTACCCAGAATTTGATTCAATTCAACAAGTCCGTATTGGACACCTGTCATTAGCCCATCCATCTGCGGGAGGCAGTGAGGAATTCAATCGAAGTGAAATCTGTCCATGAGTCAGGCTGCCGGTCGTCTGTCACTTCCCGAGCGCCTGTCTTCTCCGGGCATCGCGCTACGTGCCGGGGATGAAAACAGCAGTGATCAAAACAAGTGTGTTTTCTGCCTTCATGGAGTTTATGAAGGGAAGTCAGCAAATTATTACAAATAATTAATTCCATGGTCAGTCGTGCACGGCATGTTCTGAAGCTGTGGAATGTCTGCTGAGCATATACAGAGGAGCGGGACTCATGGGAGGGGGTAAGGAAGGCTTTCCTGAGGAAGTGCATGGAGGATAAAGAAGGATGGAGTTAGCCAGGGCTGGCAGGGGTGGGGGGCAGGGCAGAAATGGGGAACAGGCCATTAGCAGAGGGAACAGCATGTGCAAAGGCCTGGGGCGGGATGCGGGAACAGGGTGTCTTTAGTGCGTAAAGACAGAAGACTGGTATAACTGGAGCATACATAGACAAAGAGGTGGAAGGGCTTGGTGTGGGGAGGGTGGCAGGGTGAGACAGAGCAGTAACGACCTAGAAAATGACCCCAAGGGTAGCGGATGCCAGAAATGGGGTTTGAGCAGGAGCGTGCCATGGGCAGATGGGAGGCAAGGCAGTGCTGGTCACTGGGACAGTGCAGCAATGCCTCCTCCCTGATGCTCCCTGCTGGGGTCAGGTGGGGGCCATTATTCACTCTCCTAAGCCGCCTTGTTATGGCCTCACCCCTCCTGAGCTTCTCCTCTTGAATGTAGTTCTGGAGATGAGGCTCCTGGCTGGGAGGGTGAGCCTCGCTCAGCCGGCTCTCTTATTTTACAGGGGCCAGCTGTCTCAGCAGAAGCCCCATGGGCAGGACAGCCCTGCACGCGGCCGCAGCCATGGGCCGTCTGGACTGTATCAACCACCTGCTGAACTATGGAGCTTCCATCAATGAAAAAGATGCCAGGGGGGAGACCCCCATGTCCCTCGCCCGGCGCCTGAACCAAAGGCACAGTGAGCAGCGCATGTTCCTCTTCTACTGGATGGCGAAGTCAGGGACAACAGACCCAAAGAACTTGACCGAGAACAAGGTTCTTCTCAGGGCAAAGTCTAAGTCAGGCTCCAAGAAGAGCCAAGTTTGACTCCTTCTGGGAATGTCTGCACCTCGAGGGTGACCTGGGTAACTTTTCAGAGTTCAAATCCGCAGTGGCCCTTGGGGAGCAGGAAGCCAAGAAAACGTGGCAATTAATCTGAATCAGATACTAAATTATCTGTCCTGTTTGCAAATGAATCGGGGAGGGTGCTGATGGAGGTAGGTGAGCTTGTGTTCATTCTGTAATCCATTACGGACCGAGCGGGCTCAGATGCTAGCTGTTAATTTTAAGCTATTTGAACATTGTATCCAGTAACGCAGCTTGGGGTGATGGGAGCCAATTACCTTCTCGCGTCTGGAGACCATCTAATGCATCAGCATAATAGAAGTAATAGCGATGATGAGAACAGTACTGTTGCTATTGTCATGCACAAGTGCTGGCAAATGTTGGGGGGTCCTGCGTGGGGCGGGCTCCGAATTTCAGTCTGTAAAGCTCAGGAACTGTGTGCTACGTGCTGCCGCAGCGAGCGATGTTCCAGAAGTTTTCCCGAGCCATCTCTGAGGGGTCTGCTGCTTGAAATGTGGCTTGGGCGATAGGGGACTAGTGAAGCAGAGAGAGCTTGGGTCTCCGGTCACGTCCTCTAGTGGGGTGCCTTATTAGTCTTGGTTAAAGGTAATAAGTTGCTGTTGGATTTGGGGGAGACCGTGTCAAGGACGACGATGAGCTTGAAGAGGAGAGAATCAGAGCTGGCACCATCTTTTCTTGGGTCCCATCCCCAGTGGTCCAAACACACCCCACCCCGCTGATCCTTCTTCCCTCCAGTGTTCTCCTTCCTTGCTAGGACCCCACGTGGCAGCACCATCATCCTTCCTATGCTTAGTTCCAGGCTCTGTACCCCTTAAGGGGCCCAGTCTGCCATGCACCAGGGCTGGGAGTGGGAGCCAGAGGGGAGGGTGGAAACCAGCAGTGCAGACCTGCATCCTGCTGTCTGGAGGGGGCGCCACGAATCAGCTCCAGCGGAAACGTGAGCCAAAGGCTGCTAGATTTTTCCAGAGCTTTTTGATAGGATATAGTCAGATTTTTAAGTGTTGACTTGAATTTTTTAAAACATGGTGGCATAGTACAGAAGGAGTAGCAGATCCGAGACACACGTGTGGATGCGTTGTACTGCCAGACTCCACCCCTGTTCACGGAGGAAAGGGACAGAAGGAACTCAAGCCTCCTGGGACATTTGCGGCTCGGAAGCCATGGTCTTCCTGGGTGACATGTATTGTCCATACTCCCCCCACCCCCCACTGACGTATGTTTCTCTAAAGCCCCATATTCTAACACGACTTCTGCGATCTGTCTGTGCGACAATGGTCTCTCGACCGTGGAAGTTTTGTTTTCAAAGTGATGGAAAACAGCACCGTATCCCGGCTGCCCTTCTTTCCCACACATATCCCAATAACTGGATTCGGCTTTTAAATTAATTGGCTGCATTTCCTGCTGTCATAACAAGGAAGATCCGTGTTGATGATGCAGCTTCACACTCGGTAGACGTGGCGGTACCCAGCTCAGCAATCTGTTTGACAAATAATAGTCAGAAAAAAAATAGAGCTCAGCATCAACTGTGTCAAAACTGAGATCTTGTTTTTGGCAGACGTTCTCCAAAGTCGGTAGACAGATATTAAATAACCCCAACCATTGGGTCAGTTCATTCAGCTAATGAGGTATGTTGGCGGGGCGACTCGGGGACCCTTTTAACTTAACAAGTGGCATTACTCAAAGTCATTTGCTTGCCAGCAGCTTTGCTCTGCTGTCGCTGCCGTTACAAGAGCTAGCTGCCTGATACTCGTCCCCAAAACTTCAGAGACAAGCACTGTATCTTCGCAAGCCCCCAGTTCAATGCAACACTCGGCCGGAAAAGGGGCAAGTTTCAAGCTCCGCGGCTGACGCGCCGCTCAGTACGAGGCAGGGCCGTGCACACGCTCCTACAGGTCCTGGAGGCACTTCCTTAGAGGCCGCCGGACCATACTCTCGGCCATGTTCAAACAAGCCTGCATCACAGAGTGAATAAAATATGTCCACAGCCAAAGAGGAGTTGGTTTGCAATTGGTCACAATCACGTTACATGTCATAGATATTTCATTAAGCATTTTTTTTTTTTTTTTGGTGCAGCCAACAAAAATTTTTTTGGTGGGGTCAATTCAAGCATTTTTGTGGGACCCTGAAATCCTTCTAGGCCCAAGGCACTGGGGATGGTCTTCAGTGGGAATCGCTGTAGTCCGTGATCGCCCAGGTGGGTCTCCCTGCAGTGCGGGATGGGATGGGCTTGCGTCTCGTAGTGGGTGCAAGGATGGGTGGATGGGCTGCCTCTTGGATGGGGGTTAGTCTTCTGGGTATAGTACCCAGCCCCATTCTCCCTGAGTCGGCCTGGAAAACAGCGTTGGGAGGTGGGGGACTGCCCATTACAAGCAGGTAGTGACAGCTCTGCCCCCAACGTGCTCCCATTCACCTTGGCCGCCAGGATGCTCAGCTGGGGCATCTACCCTCCCCTCTCCCTTGCCCTTCCCTTGAACGAGGTACAATGTGTTGCTCTTTCTTGTATGCATGTTTGATTGAAAATGGCCTCACCTCTTTTCTAGAAGGCCATGCGGCACAAATCAGGAAGAGGTCATGCACCCTGTGGGGTCCAGAGGGCGACATGGACATCGTGGCCAGGCCTTGCTCAGCTGAGCCAGCCTCCTGGCCACCCAGCCCGGAGTCCCCTGCCGCTTCATTGTCTCAGAGGCAGCTAGACAGAGATGCTGGAATTTTCCTCTGTATCCAGTCTATTGACCTGGTCTCCAGTCTCCTCCAGAATCTGGATGTGGGCCCCTTGACGGCCCCTCTGGACCTCAGGCTACCTCTTGGGTGTCTCTCTCGCCATGGATCCCCCCTGCATCTCGGACCCCGGCGCTTTCCTCCCTCAGGACTATTCACCAACTGGAGCTTCCCAGAGAGCCGGAAGGGATGGCATTCCCCCTGGTGGCAACTTGGGGGACTTTCTCCGTGGCCCTGAGACTGCTTTAAGAGTGACTGCGACACAGGCTGAGGACATTATTCCCTGGGCAGATTGCTCTGAGTCCTGATTCCAACAAGGGGAAAGGCTGTTTGGGGCTGGGATGCCTTCACCCCTTCCCTACCCTCACCAGTCTCCCCTCTACCACGGAGCAGGCCTCTGCGGGCAAGAGGGCTGTGCTGGGATTGGAAAACATTGTCTTGTTCTCAGTGCATTTGTGGGCCGGGATTCTACTCCTTTCTCTGTCCCTAACTAGTGTGTGACCTTGGGGGCAAACTGTCACCTTCCAACAGCCTCAGCTTCTCCGTCCGTCAGGGTCCTCATTGTCTCCATTCTAACATGCTCGTGTTTTGGAGACGAGACGACCCATGAGGCAGAGCTCTGGGGGCCCAAAGCCTCGCTGCTGTAGCCCCGCTGGGCTGTCCGGCCAGCAGGTGAGGCTGAGAACTTTCCTTCGCCGCTGGCTGGGTGGCGTGAGGCCAAGCAATCGCATCTCTCAGTGTCTTGGTCTGTAACATTTGGGTAATAAAACCTGCCCCTGTCATCGCTGGAGGGATTAAATGCCGGGCACAGAGCAGACACTTGAAAAATAGTGCCCATTATTATTATTATTACTAGCACCACTTAATTTGCTTAAAATGTTTACTCACCAGGAATCAATACGCTCCTGGTTTCCAGATAGCCTCATAAATTTTCAGCAAACCTTATACAATAAGAGTCTCCATCCAGAACTAATAATTCCCAAAGTGGGAGATAAATAATTTCCCTGAAACTTGCTGATTTTGGTATTAAGTACAGGGCTTCCTCAGCAACTTCTAGAAAGTCGTTCTGAATTGAGAACTGCAGGGCCAGTTGCGCAGAAGGGGAAAAAAAAAAAAAAAAAGCTCTAAGATGAGAGGAAAATTCCAGGCGCTCGGCTCTGCCTCCGCAGAGCCCTGACGACGCGAGCATCCAGCAGAGGGCACAGAAACCCATTAGCATTTAGAAAAACGCCGGTGTTTGTGTTCGCTGGAAATGTCAGGGATGCTGCAGTCTGCGCCACGCCGGAAACTCAAGAGCAGGGCTCGGTGGCGGGGGGCTCGCAGACGGGCTGCTCTGTCTGAACCCCCGAAATTGTATGACGCACCTGTCGGCACACATGCATGCTCTGGGGGGGACCTTCCGAGCTCCCATCGCACCCTCAACCTGTGGACCCCCTGCCCAGAGGTCCCCAAACCCGGGCCCCATAACGAGGCCAACCACACCCACGATTAAATCCCATCAATGCATTCATACGGTGTCACCTTCTACCGTTTGGTTGGCGCGTGTGGTCAGTTGGCAATGGGAAGGATGCTAAAACGGGTCACATCTGATGCTGCGATGCACGTGCTCGCGAGCTCCCAGGGGACCTCGGAGAATTTATGACTCCGCCCAGCGACCCCACTTTGGTACCTCCATCCTGCAGAGACAAAGGCCCAGAACATTATGCACCACATACATGAATGTTCACGACAGATCTTTCCGGGGACCAGGTGCCTGGAGACGCTCCCAGTGCCCACCAGTGAGGCTAATGGTGGCACCTTTTCACCAATTAAGGAATAACTTGATTTATGGCTATAAGGCCAAGGGACGGCCATAAGGAGTGTGATGTGTCCTGACATCCCAGTTTGTGAAAAACGGCAAGTTGCCCAGGAGATGTGTATGAGATCATTGAGTTACAATTTTGAAAAGGAGGCAAATCCAATAAATGTGCATGTAAGGGTATTTGAGCAAAAATAATGAGGTCAAAGGTCTTCAGGCTCTTAGCGTTGTCTGCCTGAGGCTGCTCTGCTTCATACATCTTGAAGTGGTCACAACCAGCATTTTTCTTCTTATGGTAAAATGCCATAATGTGAAATTTGTCATTAATGATGTTTTGCACATTTGCAGTGTTGTGCAACCAACACCAGTATGTAGTTCTAGAACATTCCATCGCCTTACAAAGGAATACTTGATCCAGTAGCAGCCTGCCCCTCTCCCCACCCTGTTCCCTCTTCCCCAGGGCAGTCACGGGTCTGCTTTCTGTCTCTGTGGATCTGCCCATTCCAGGTACTTCAGATAAATCAAGTCAGTGTGTATCTGGCTTCTTAGCGTTGTGTTTTCGGGGTTCATCCACACCA